GAGGCATGATAGACACAAGAAGCAGTCCAGCAAGTACTGTTACTGAGACATGATAGACACAAGAGGCAGTCCAGCAAGTACTGTTACTGAGACATGATAGACACAAGAAGCAGCCGAGCAAGTACTGTTACTGAGACATGATCGACACAAGAAGCAGCCCAGCAAGTACTGTTACTGAGCCATGATAGACACAAGAAGCACTCCAGCAAGTACTTTCACTGAGACATGATAGACACAAGAAGCAGTCAAGCAAGTACATGACAATACTGTTACTCGGAGGTCATCTTACCACCCCATCCCTCAACCACAGTGCGCCTGAATTGCTCAAGGCCAAGGGTAATCTGAACATCACACCAATAAAACCAATAAAACCAATAAAACTAACAAAACATACACTGAAGCCATTCGCCACCATCGTTTCGTTTTCATTCTGATCCAGTTCTATAATTAGACGTCCTTTCAAGCACCACCCCCTTAGAGGAGACTTGATGAGCTGAGATAGTGATGAGGAGGGTGGAGATGGTGGACCATGGGCGCAGGCGAGTTATCACATTAGAATGGAGATATGACTCACTGGAAAATCGAGGATGGGTTTGAAAGAGTTTTTGTGTATGTTGTAGAAGTTTTGTAGGACACCCCTGCACTAATAATGCTTATCATTCGCCATACTAGGCTAATCTCCTATAAGATATAATATAATAATTTAAGCTTCAGTTCAAACCTATTTCAAACTGTGCTCGGATTTAATGTCGACTGATATTACTTCACAAGTCTCGAGAGTCTTATTGCGCGTGCCTCACGCGTCACAACAACCAGCAAATATTCACATCTTCACTATGCACGGCTGTTTGTGTCATTACCAACATGATTTGACCAATTATATTCGCGGGAAAACATCAAAACAAAATTTGGTAAACTTTAAATATTTACTCTTTGCTTTGGAGACGACCCCCCAGGTTGATTTGTTGATGACAGTTGTTTAATACAGTAGTATAAATGAACAGAGGCCCTGTGAAAATAAATACGTTAAAATATGCACAATACCTACACATAAAAATAAATCATTTCATTATAACTTATTAACAAATATTAGAATCCTATATATGATCATATACATTGTTATGATCCATCGTAATTAGTTTTATCTTACTTTACTCGAAACATTACAGGGGATTTATCATATAATAAATTGACAAACATAGCTTATCAATAATGGGAGAATGATGGTAAATGCATTAATACATAACACACAATTTCAGTAGATATCACCATAAAAACATACAAAATATTAATATCCTCACCAGGTGTATGGCACTGTGCCCTAGGATGTCACAACATCAGACATCATTTGCTTTACCGGGACACACCTAAACATAAATATATATATATATATATATAACATAATTACAGTGTTACATATTACATCAATATGTTTACATTCTTAGGTATATACAATAACCCTAAATATATATATTCTAATCACCCACCGCATCATACAGACATACATTCATACATGTGCAGTTAGGTGCAGAAATTTAATTTACAGGTAAATAGCTCCAGTCTATCAATAAATGTACTCATTATGCTTTTGTTACACAATAAGTTAAGTAATATCAACATGAAAATGCTAGTTAAGATTATATACATACTTACATACTTAAAGTATTTAAGCAAATTTAGCCTAACTACATTTACCTGAATACGATGACTGATATGATAAATATTTATCATATAGTACTATTAAAAGAAGTTAAGAAACCATACATGTGCACCTTAACAAACCGATCAAAGCACTAAATAAGAAAACATAATTATACAATTCTAGCAAACTAACCTGTGACAGTTGATTGAATTATTTCAGCGATGAACTGAGAACGTGTCTCCATACGTGTCAAATACAAGGGTAAATTCAAACTGACCAGTCCCATGATGCACCCTGTCACTGAATGTAAGGGGCTGGGGCTAGACAATAGAGACCAGAGAAACAAAAGAGAAGGCAAGCGCAAGGGTGACTGTGCTATTGTAATAGAGAAGCAGGTTAGATTGGAGGGTAGACTAAAACTTAGGTATTAAAATATGAGGTGACCTTAAAATACACTTGATGATATGAACATAAGTACATACTACTACACACTGACTTGTGATGCCATAATCTCAGAGACTAGTGTTGTGTTTCACTTTAAGAACATTTGACACTTTAATTTCAACCTTGATGATCAGTTTTGCCAAGTTTCATCGTTTTAATATGTCTCAAGGTATGTTTACAGTGTTTGGACAAATAAGGTTTCTATATATCTATCCATGTTGATGTTTCTTTTGCGGTTCAGTATACATCATACAGTACTCATACATATCTCTGCATCGTAAAATATTATACTCGAATACTGTAAGATGTATCATGATACATCTTACAAAACCCATGCTCCTGTATTGTAATACATCATACAGTACCCATGCTCCTGTATCGTTATACATCATACAGTACCCATGCTCCTGTATCGTATACATCATACAGTACCCATGCTCCAGTATCGTTATACATCTTACAGTACCCATGCTCCTGTATCGTTATACATCATACAGTACCTGTGCTCCTGTATCGCAATACATCATACAGTACCCATGTTCCTGTATCGTTATACATCATACAGTACCCATGCTCCTGTATCGTAATATATCATACAGTACCCATGCTCCTGTATCGTTATACATCTTACAGTACCCGTGCTCCAGTATCGTTATACGTCTTACAGTAGACATGCTCCAGTATCGTTATACATCATACAGTACCCATGCTCCTGTATCGTAATACATCATACAGTACCCATGCTCCTCTATTGGAGTACATCATACAGTACCCATGCTCCTGTATCGTAATACATCATACAGTACCGATGCTCCAGTATCGTTATACATCTTACATTTCCCATGCTCCAGTATCGTTATACATCATAAAGTACCCATGCTCCTGTATCGTTATACATCTTACAGTACCCATGCTCCTGTATCGTTATACATCATACAGTACCCATGCTCCTATATCGGTATACATCATACAGTACCCATGCACCTGTATCGTTATACATCATACAGTACCCATGCTCCAGTATCGTATACATCATACAGTACCCGTGCTCCAGTATCGTTATACATCTTACAGTACCCATGCTCCTGTATCGTTAAACATCATACAGTACCCGTGCTCCAGTACGTTATACATCTTACAGTACCCATGCTCCTGTATCGTTATACATCATACAGTACCCATGCTCCAGTATCGTATACATCATACAGTACCCGTGCTCCAGTATCATTATACATCTTACAGTACCCATGCTCCTGTATCGTTATACATCATACAGTACCCATGCTCCTGTATCGTTATACATCATACAGTACCCATGCTCCAGTATCGTATACATCATACAGTACCCATGCTCCAGTACGTTATACATCATACAGTACCCATGCTCCTGTATCGTTATACATCATACAGTACCCATGCTCCTGTATCGTTATACATCATACAGTACCCATGCTCCTGTATCGTTATACATCATACAGTACCCATGCTCCTGTATCGTTATACATCATACAGTACCCATGCTCCTGTATCGTTATACATCATACAGTACCCATGCTCCTGTATCGTTATACATCTTACAATACCCATGCTCCAGTATCGTTATACATCATACAGTACCCATGCTCCAGTATCGTTATACATCTTACAGTACCCATGCTCCTGTATCGTTATACATCATACAGTACCCATGCTCCTGTATCGTTATACATCATACAGTACCCATGCTCCAGTATCGTATACATCATACAGTACCCGTGCTCCAGTACGTTATACATCATACAGTACCCATGCTCCTGTATCGTTATACATCATACAGTACCCATGCTCCTGTATCGTTATATATCATACAGTACCCATGCTCCTGTATCGTAATACATCATACAGTACCATGCTCCTGTATCGTAATACATCATACAGTACCCATGCTCCAGTATCGTTATACATCATACAGTACCCATGCTCCAGTATCGTAATACATCATACAGTACCCATGCTCCTCTATTGGAGTACATCATACAGTACCCATGCTCCTGTATCGTAATACATCATACAGTACCGATGCTCCAGTATGGTTATACATCTTACAGTACCCATGCTCCAGTATCGTTATACATCTTACAGTACCCATGCTCCTGTATCGTAATACATCTTACAGTACCCATGCTCCTGTATCGTTATACATCTTACAGTACCCATGCTCCAGTATCGTATACATCATACAGTACCCATGCTCCAGTATCGTAATACATCATACAGTACCCATGCTCCTGTATCGTTATACATCTTACAGTACCCATGCTCCAGTATCGTATACATCATACAGTACCCATGCTCCAGTATCGTAATACATCTTACAGTACCCATGCTCCTGTATCGTTATACATCTTACAGTACCCATGCTCCTGTATCGTATACATCATGCACAAGACCGTGTGTGTGTGTGGATGTGTGGATGTGTGTATTCAGATAGATGTGTGTTTGTGTGTATTTAGGCAGATGTGTGTGTGTGGACGTGTGTTTTGAGTGTATTCTAGACAGATGTGAGACTGTATGTATATAGACAGATGTGTGTTTTGAGTGTATTTACACAGATATGTGACTGTGTGTATTTAGACAGATGTGTGTATGTGTGTATTAAGACAGATGTGTGTTTTGAGTGTATTTAGACGGATGTGTGTCAGTGTATTTAGACAGATGTGTGTCTGTGTGTATTTAGGGATGTTTGGGTGGGTGTTCTTATACTGTCTTCGTTGATGCGTCAAACATATGTGAGAAGAGGTTGACTAAAGCTTTTATTTAAGAAGTGCATACATTTTTTAACAACAGTATCATAATGAATATACCCATCACAGAGCATACATTTTAGTCATTAGCATGTGCGTTGTGACGAAGCCGCTGTTGAATAATACAAGTTCCTTGTATGACTTATAGGCGTGGGGCTATATAAGTTTGTATCACCGCGTTCATCTCTCAGTGTCTTCTCGGTCGTCGGCATCATGACCGACACACAACGCCGACTGGCAATTTGCTTCCTCGTCGTCACAGCCCTCGCTAGCACAACTTATGGGTAAGTTCAACATTTCTCATCCCGATCTTGATCAAGCTGTTAGAATATTCACATTGCCGTCCTTCCCGTGCAGAACATACCACCATAACATTGTCATGAGTTGCCATGTGTCATGAGTTGTCATGTGTCATGAGTTGTCATGTGTCCTGAGTTGCTATGTGTCATGAGTTGCCATGTGTCCTGAGTTGCCATGTATCCTGAGTTGTTATGTGTCTTGAGTTGTCATGTGTCCTGAGTTACCATGTGTCCTGAGTTGCCATGTGTCCTGAGTTGTTATGTGTCCTGAGTTGTCATGTGTCCTGAGTTGCCATGTGTCATGAGTTGCCATGTGTCCTGAGTTGCCATGTGTCCTGAGTTGCCATGTGGCCGATTACCCCCGGCCACGGAAGGGGACACCAGCATGCGGGGAATCGAGCACGCGCCTGGCGAAATAACGAAATAGCCACTAAGCTATCCCCTCGACAGTCTGGGTTACTTGTCCCGTTATGCGTGAGTCGTTAGAAGAACAGAGGAAACTTTGACACGTAGATTACATAAGGAGTGATCGAGTGAGTGAGTGGCTTTAACGCCGCTTTAAACAGTATTCCACTTATATCACGGCGTGTCAGCTAAATGTGGGAAGTGATGCAGATTTCCGACGTTGATCAATTTGGTGAAACCCACAACCACAGGTCTGGTGCCGCAAACCCAGACACACGTTCAGACAGACACGGGATTCAAACCCACAATCATAGGTTTCGGTCGTGCCCAAGGGACGCAACTCTGCACAGCTTACTGCTACATGATCAGGGTGTAGTATAGCACATAGCAAGTATACGAGTACATGGTCAGGGGTGTAATATAGCACATAACAAGTATACGACTACATGGTCAGGGGTGTAATATAGCACATAACAAGTATACGATTACATGGTGAGGGATGTAATATAACACATAACAAGTATACGACTACATGGTCAGGGGTGTAATATAGCACTTAACAAGTATACGATTACATGGTCAGGGATGTAATATAGCACATAACAAGTATACGATTACATGGTCAGGGATGTAGTATAGCACATAACAAGTATACGACTACATGGTCAGGTGTGTAATATAGCAAATAACAAGTATTCGATTACATGGTCAGGGGTGTAATATAGCAATTAATTAACAAGTATACGACTACATGGTCAGGGGTGTAATATAGCAAATAACAAGTATACGACTACATGGTCAGGGATGTAATATAGCCAATGACAAGTATACGACTACATGGTCAGGGCTGTAATATAGCAAATAACAAGTATATGACTACATGGTCAGGGATGTAATATAGCAAATAACAAGTATACGATTACATGGTCAGGGATGTAATATAGCAAATAACAAGTATACGATTACATGGTCAGGCATGTAATATAGCAAATAACAAGTATACGATTACATGGTCAGGGGTGTAATATAGCACATAACAAGTATACGACTACATGGTCAGGGGTGTAATATAGCAAATAACAAGTATACGATTACATGGTCAGGGATGTACTATAGCAAATAACAAGTATACGATTACATGGTCAGGGGTGTACTATAGCAAATAACAAGTATACGACTACATGGTCAGGGATGTAATATAGCAAATAACAAGTATACGATTACATGGTCAGGGATGTAATATAGCACATAACAAGTATACGACTAAATGGTCAGGGGTGTAATATAGAACAATAACAAGTATACGATTATATGTCCCAGATTCATTGCTGTTCTGTAAGCATATGACTCTACATTGTTAAAATGTAAATATATGACTCCACATGTATCAGTTTGCTGAGATACACAAGGAAGTATCGTCTCCCAAAGTTGGTCATCGTGCACAAGTGCTGCTCATCCGCGCTGAGCAGACAGGACATGCTGATTGGAGGGGGTCTGACTCATACCTGACCTACAGGATACATGTGGAGTGGTGTTCGGGGATGTACATTGTAGATCTAACTGGAATGTTATATGAAACACGCTGACGTTATGAAGCCATACGGCAACACCAGGAAGAGTCCCATTACACCACGGGTATCATAGTTACCATCGTGCCATAGGGAAATTGACGGACTGTCTGTGATGGGGATAGTTATGTACACACATGGTGCCACTTTGCTCATCATCATCATCATCATCATCATCATCATCATCATTACTGTTATTGATCGTTACATAACGTTTCCTTCATATCCCTGCTGCACCAAGGGGCACGAGTGTGTATGGTCAGTCTCTGCTGACCGGAAACCGTCTTAAGGTCATGTGATGTCCCATCAGTCAATTCTATTTCATCAGCATGTAACTTCCGATGATAGTTTGATTTTTAAGGAATTATGAGAAAAAAATATTGAATAATATTTTACAAATCCGTTAAAAACAAATCGAACAAAGTATTGATCTCAATCCATTTCTACACCTTCCACTTGTCTTTGTTACTGCTTTGTTACCACTCCCCCTCGAACGTCGAATCTGGAGTTTAAAAATTACTTTAAGGTAGTCATGTGGAGAACAGTTCCATATTTGACGCATCTTTACAAATGTGATGTCCGATGCAATTCCTTATTTCGACTTGTACCATATGTTCCCGTATTGTGTTTTGGGAACAACTGACTTGCACTTGCATGTGTTTGTGACGGGTGCCACTGGTTGGGCAGGACAAACACACCTTGATGCCAACACCATGGTGTCAGGTGGAGACATGCATCTACCCTATCTGTGTACTTGAAGGTGGAGACATGCATCCACTCTATCTGTGTACTTGAAGGTGGAGACATACATCTGATAAATCTCTGTCCTTGAAGGAGGTGACATACATCTACTCTATCTGTGTACTTGAAGGTGGGAGACATGCATCTACTCTATCTGTGCACTTGAAGGTGGAGACATGCATCTGCTCTATCTGTGTACTTGAAGGTGGAGACATACATCTGCTCTATCTGTGTACTTGAAGATGGAGATATACATCCACTCTGTCTGTGTACTTGAAGGTGGAGACATACATCTATTCTATCTGTGTACTTGAAGGCGGAGACATGCATCTACTCTATCTGTGTACTTGAAGGTGGAGACATGCATCTACACTATCTGTGTACTTGAAGGTGGAGACATACATCTGCTCTATCTGTGTACTTGAAGGTGGAGACATGCATCTGCTCTATCTGTGTACTTGAAGGTGGAGACATACATCTGCTCTATCTGTGTACTTGAAGGTTGAGACATACATCTGCTCTATCTGTGTACTTAAAAGTGGAGACATGCATCTGCTCTATCTGTGTACTTGAAGGTTGAGACATACATGTACTCTATCTGTGTACTTGAAGGTGGAGACATACATATACTCTATCTGTGTACTTGAAGGTGGAGACATCCATCTACTCTATATCGGTACTTGAAGGTGGAGACATGCATCTGCTCTATCTGTGTACTTGAAGGTGGAGACATACATCTACTCTATCTGTGTACTTGAAGGTGGAGACATACATATACTCTATCTGTGTACTTGAAGGTGGAGACATGCATCTACTCTATATCGGTACTTGAAGGTGGAGACATGCATCTGCTCTATCTGTGTACTTGAAAGTGGAGACATGCATCTGCTCTATCTGTGTACTTGAAAGTGGAGACATGCATCTGCTCTATCTGTGTACTTGAAAGTAACGACATGCATCTACTCTATCTGTGTACTTGAAGGTGGAGACATGCATTTGCTCTATCTGTGTACTTAAAAGTGGAGACATACATCTGCTCTATCTGTGTACTTGAAGGTTGAGACATACATCTGCTCTATCTGTGTACTTGAAAGTGGAGACATGCATCTACTCTATCTGTGTACTTGAAGGTGGAGACATGCATCTACACTATCTGTGTACTTGAAAGTGGAGACATGCATCTACACTATCTGTGTACTTGAAAGTGGAGACATGCATCTGCTCTATCTGTGTACTTGAAGGTGGAGACATGCATCTACTCTATCTGTGTACTTGAAGGTGGAGACATACATCTGCTCTATCTGTGTACTTGAAGGTGGAGACATGCATCTGCTCTATCTGTGTACTTGAAGGTGGAGACATGCATCTGCTCTATCTGTGTACTTGAAGGTGGAGACATACATCTGCTCTATCTGTGTACTTGAAGGTGGAGACATGCATCTGCTCTATCTGTGTACTTAAAAGTGGAGACATGCATCTGCTCTATCTGTGTACTTGAAGGTTGAGACATACATGTACTCTATCTGTGTACTTGAAGGTGGAGACATACATATACTCTATCTGTGTACTTGAAGGTGGAGACATCCATCTACTCTATATCGGTACTTGAAGGTGGAGACATGCATCTGCTCTATCTGTGTACTTGAAGGTGGAGACATACATCTACTCTATCTGTGTACTTGAAGGTGGAGACATACATATACTCTATCTGTGTACTTGAAGGTGGAGACATGCATCTACTCTATATCGGTACTTGAAGGTGGAGACATGCATCTGCTCTATCTGTGTACTTGAAGGTGGAGACATACATCTGCTCTATCTGTGTACTTGAAAGTGGAGACATGCATCTGCTCTATCTGTGTACTTAAAAGTGGAGACATGCATCTGCTCTATCTATGTACTTGAAGGTTGAGACATACATCTGCTCTATCTGTGTACTTGAAAGTGGAGACATGCATCTACTCTATCTGTGTACTTGAAGGTGGAGACATGCATCTACACTATCTGTGTACTTGAAAGTGGAGACATGCATCTACACTATCTGTGTACTTGAAAGTGGAGACATGCATCTACTCTATCTATGTACTTGAAGGTGGAGACATACATCTGCTCTATCTGTGTACTTGAAGGTGGACACATGCATCTGCTATATCTGTGTACTTGAAGGTGGAGACATACATCTGCTCTATCTGTGTACTTGAAGGTGGAGACATGCATCTGCTCTATCTGTGTACTTGAAAGTGGAGACATGCATCTGCTCTATCTGTGTACTTGAAGGTGGAGACATGCATCTACTCTATCTGTGTACTTGAAGGTGGAGACATGCATCTACTCTATCTGTGTACTTGAAGGTGGAGACATGCATCTGCTCTATCTCTGTACTTGCAGATGGAGACATGCATCTGCTCTATCTGTGTACTTGAAGGGGGAGACATACATCTGCTCTATCTGTGTACTTGCAGATGGAGACATGCATCTGCTCTGTGTACTTGAAGGTGGAGACATACATCTGCTCTATCTGTGTACTTGAAGGTGGAGACATACATCTACTCTATCTGTGTACTTGAAGGTGGAGACATACATCTACTCTATCTGTGTACTTGAAGGTGGAGACATACATCTGCTCTATCTGTGTACTTGCAGATGGAGACATGCATCTGCTCTGTGTACTTGAAGGTGGACACATGCATCTACTCTGTGTACTTGAAGGTGGAGACATACATCTACTCTATCTGTGTACTTGAAGGTGGAGACATGCATCTGCTCTATCTGTGTACTTGCAGATGGAGACATGCATCTGCTCTGTGTACTTGAAGGTGGACACATGCATCTACTCTGTGTACTTGAAGGTGGAGACATGCATCTACTCTGTGTACTTGAATGTGGAGACATGCATCTACTCTGTGTACTTGAATGTGGAGACATGCATCTGCTCTGTGTACTTGAAGGTGGAGACATACATCTACTCTATCTGTGTACTTGAAAGTGGAGACATACATCTGCTCTATCTGTGTACTTGCAGATGGAGACATTCATCTGCTCTGTGTACTTGAAGGTGGAGACATGCATCTGCTCTGTGTACTTTAAGGTGGAGACATGCATCTGCTCTGTGTGCTTGAAGGTGGAGACAAGCATTTACTCTATCTGTGTACTTTAAGGTGGAGACATGCATCTACTCTGTGTACTTGCAGATGGAGACATGCATCTAATCTGTGAACTTAAAGGTGGAGACATGCATCTACTCTATCTGTGTACTTGAAAATGGAGACATGCATCTGCTCTGTGTACTTGAAGGTGGAGACAAGCATCTGCTCTATCTGTGTACTTGAAGGTGGAGACATGCATCTACTCTGTGTACTTGAAGGTGGAGACATGCATCTACTCTGTGTACTTGAAGGTGGAGACATGCATCTGCTCTGTGTACTTGAAGGTGGAGACATGCATCTACTCTATCTGTGTACTTGAAGGTGGAGACAAGCATCTGCTCTATCTGTGTACTTGAAGGTGGAGACATGCATCTACTCTGTGTACTTGAAGGTGGAGACATGCATCTACTCTGTGTACGTGAAGGTGGAGACATGCATCTACTCTATCTGTGTACTTGAAGGTGGAGACATACATCTGCTCTATCTGTGTACTTGCAGATGGAGACATTCATCTGCTCTGTGTACTTTAAGGTGGAGACATGCATCTACTCTGTGTACTTGAAGGTGGAGACATGCATCTACTCTGTGTACTTGAAGGTGGAGTCATACATCTACTCTGTGTACTTGAAGGTGGAGACAAGCATCTGCTCTATCTGTGTACTTGAAGGTGGAGACATGCATCTGCTCTGTGTACTTGAAGGTGGTGACATGCATCTACTCTGTGTACTTGAAGGTGGAGACATGCATCTACTCTATCTGTGTACTTGAAGGTGGAGACAAGCATCTGCTCTATCTGTGTACTTGAAGGTGGAGACATGCATCTACTCTTCGTACTTGAAGGTGGAGACATGCATCTACTCTGTGTACGTGAAGGTGGAGACATGCATCTACTCTATCTGTGTACTTGAAAATGGAAACATGCATCTGCTCTGTGTACTTGAAGGTGGAGACAAGCATCTGCTCTATCTGTGTACTTGAAGGTGGAGACATGCATCTACTCTGTGTACTTGAAGGTGGTGACATGCATCTACTCTGTGTACTTGAAGGTGGAGACATGCATCTGCTCTATCTGTGTACTTGAAGGTGGAGACATGCATCTGCTCTGTGTACTTGAAGGTGGTGACATGCATCTACTCTGTGTACTTGAAGGTGGAGACAAGCATCTGCTCTATCTGTGTACTTGAAGGTGGAGACATGCATCTGCTCTGTGTACTTGAAGGTGGTGACATGCATCTACTCTGTGTACTTGAAGGTGGAGACATGCATCTACTCTATCTGTGTACTTGAAGGTGGAGACAAGCATCTGCTCTATCTGTGTACTTGAAGGTGGAGACATGCATCTACTCTGTGTACTTGAAGGTGGAGACATGCATCTACTCTGTGTACGTGAAGGTGGAGACATGCATCTACTCTATCTGTGTACTTGAAAATGGAAACATGTATCTGCTCTGTGTACTTGAAGGTTGAGACAAGCATCTGCTCTATCTGTGTACTTGAAGGTGGAGACATGCATCTACTCTGTGTACTTGAAGGTGGAGACATACATCTACTCTGTGTACTTGAAGGTGGAGACAAGCACCTGCTCTATCTGTGTACTTGAAGGTGGAGACATGTATCTACTCTATCTGTGTACTTGAAGGTGGAGACATGTATCTACTCTATCTGTGTACTTGAAGGTGGAGACATGTATCTACTCTATCTGTGTACTTGAAGGTGGAGACATGTATCTACTCTATCTGTGTACTTGAAGGTGGAGACATGTATCTACTATGCGTACATAATGCAGGTCCATCTTGTGATGACAGAACGAAGATTTACTTCCATAACACTCGTGTTCTTTGATTACATATGTTCTTTGGTAAAGGTTTTCGTCATTATGGGATACACCTTTATCACCTGACACGATATATAACAGATAGGTTTCATTTGCATTACGAATAGACCCTTCGATGACATCTGATATCTGTTTCAAGGAATGCGATCATACAGTATTGAATCATAGTCTTGTTGTCTGATACAGGGTTTTGTACCTGACACTCTGATGGCCATCCTGATATCTGATTCTGCGGCTTCGAAGTTTGGCCGTTTAGTAATCTTAGTGTTTGTCACCGCTGCCGAACTGACCCTTTGTTGACAGTGTGGTCATCCTGCACTGGACATGTGGGTTCAAGGTAACCAATGACCTTATTGTCTGTTACAGGGGCTTCTGTCAGAGGACCATCTGCACGACCCAGAGAGTACGTGTGTGCATCTACAGGACATGGCGCGCGTAAGTTTCTAATCAATATTTTAATCAAACATATACGTGTATCATACAAACATTACTGTTCACTCATCACAGGGATCGTGAAACGACGTCATGAAGAAAAGCCTCAATCCTTGAATGACAGGGTCCATTTACCACTGGCATCAAAGATACTTGTATGGCAGGTGTGTCATAGTGTATGATAGGTGTGTCACGGTGTATGATAGGTGTGTCACGGTGTATGATAGTTGTGTCATTGTGTGTCACGGTATGTCATGTTGTATCATAGGTATGTCACGGTGTGTCACGGTGTATGATAGTGTGTCATGGTGTATGATGGTTGTGTCAAAGTGTATGAAAGGTGTGTCATGGTGTATGATGGTTGTATCATGGTGCATGATGGTTGTGTCATGGTGTGGGATAGGTGTTTCATGGTGTATGATAGTTGTGTCACAGTGTATGAAAGTTGTGTCATGGTGTATGATAGTTGTGTCGCAGTGTATGATAATTGTGTTACGGTGTATGATAGTTGTGTCATGGTGTATAATGGTTGTGTAACAGTGTATGCTAGTTGTGTAACAGTGTATGATAGTTGTGTCATGGTGTATGATGGTTGTGTCATGGTGTAGGATAGTTGTGTCATGGTGCACGATGGTTGTGTCATTGTGTATGATGGTTGTATCATGGTGCATGATGGTTGTGTCATGGTGTATGATAGTTGTGTCATGGTGCACGATGGTTGTGTCATGGTGTAGGATAGTTGTGTCATGGTGCATGATGGTTGTGTCATGGTGTATGATGGTTGTATCATGGTGCATGATGGTTGTGTCATGGTGTAGGATAGGTGTTTCATGGTGTATGATAGTTGTGTCACAGTGTATGAAAGTTGTGTCATGGTGTATGCTAGTTGTGTCGCAGTGTATGATAATTGTGTTACGGTGTATGATAGTTGTGTCATGGTGTATGATAGTTGTGTAACAGTGTATGCTAGTTGTGTAACAGTGTATGATAGTTGTGTCATGGTGTATGAGGGTTCTGTCATGGTGTATGATAGTTGTGTCAAAGTGTATGATGGTTGTGTCATGGTGCATGATGGTTGTGTCATGGTGTAGGATAGTTGTGTCATGGTATATGAGGGTTGTGTCATGGTGTATGATAGTTGTGTAACAGTGTATGCTAGTTGTGTAACAGTGTATGATAGTTGTGTCATGGTGTATGAGGGTTCTGTCATGGTGTATGATAGTTGTGTCAAAGTGTATGATGGTTGTGTCATGGTGCATGATGGTTGTGTCATGGTGTAGGATAGTTGTATCATGGTGTATGAGGGTTGTGTCATGGTGTATGATAGTTGTGTCATGGTGTATGATAGTTCTGTCATGGTGCATAATGGTTGTGTCATGGTGTAGGATAGTTGTGTCATGGTGCATGATGGTTGTGTCATGGTGTAGGATAGTTGTGTAATGGTGTATGATAGTTGTGTCATGGTGTATGATAGTTGTGTAGTGGTGTATGCTAGTTGTGTCTTGGTGTATGAGGGTTGTGTCATGGTGTAGGATAGTTGTGTCATGGTGTATGAGGGTTGTGTCATGGTGTATGATAGTTGTGTAATGGTGTATGATAGTTGTGTCGCAGTGTATGATGGTTGTGTAGTGGTGTATGATAGTTGTGTAGTGGTGTATGCTAGTTGTTTTATGGTGTATGATGGTTGTGTCACAGTGTATGACAGTTGTGTCACGGTGTTTGATAGTTGTGTCATTGTGTATGATAGTTGCGTCATGGTGTATGATGGTTGTGTCACAGTGTATGATAGTTGTGTCACGGTGTTTGATAGTTGTGTCATTGTGTATGATAGTTGTGTCAAGATGTATGATACTTCTTTCAAGGTATATGGTAGTTGTGTTGCAGTGTATGATGGTTGTGTCATGGTGTATGATATTTGTGTCATGGTGTGTCATGGTGTGATTGATGTGTCACAGTGTATGAAAGTTGTGTTATTGTGTATGATAGTTGTGTCACGATGTATGATACTTCTTTCACGGTATATGATAGTTGTGTCACGATATATGATACTTCTTTCACGGTAAATGATAGTTGTGTTACGGTGTGTGATGGTTGTGTCATGGTGTATGATGGTTGTGTCATGGTGTATGATGGTTGTGTCACACTGTATGAAAGGTGTGTCATGGTGTATGATGGTTGTGTCATGGTGTATGATAGTTGTGTCATGGTGCATGATGGTTGTGTCATGGTGTACGATAGGTGTGTCATGGTGTAAGATGGTTGTTTCACGGTGTATGATAATTGTGTCATGGTGTATGATGGTTGTGTCATGGTGTATGATGGTTGTGTCACGGTGTATGATGGTTGTGTCATGGTGTATAATAGTTGTGTCACGGTGTATGAGGGTGGTGTCATGGTGTATGATGGTTGTGTAATGGTGTATGATGGTTGTGTTAAGGTGTATGATGGTTGTGTCACAGTGTATGATGGTTGTGTCATGGTGTATGATGGTTGTGTCACGGTGTATGATGGTTGTGTCACAGTGTATTATGGTTGTGTCATGGTGTATGATGGTTGTGTCACGGTGTATGATGGTTGTGTCACAGTGTATGATGGTTGTGTCACGGTGTATGATGGTTGTGTCACGGTGTATGATGGTTGTGTCACAGTGTATGGTGGTTGTGTCATGGTGTATGATGGTTGTGTCACGGTGTATGATTGTTGTGACACGGTGCATGATGGTTGTGTCACAGTGTATGATGGTTGTGTCATGGTGTATGATGGTTGTGTCACAGTGTATGAAAGGTGTGTCATGGCGTATGATGGTTGTGTCACAGTGTATGATGGTTGTGTCACGGTGTATGATGGTTGTGTCACAGTGCATGATGGTTGCGTTACGGTGTATGATGGTTGTGTCACGGTGTATGATGGTTGTGTCACAGTGTATGATGGTTGTGTCACAGTGTATGAAAGGTGTGTCATGGTGTATGATGGTTGTGTCACGGTGTATGATGGTTGTGTGATGGTGTATGATGGTTGCGTTAAGGTGTATGATGGTTGTGTCACAGTGTATGGTGGTTGTGTCATGGTGTATGATGGTTGTGTCACAGTGTATGAAAGGTGTGTCATGGTGTATGATGGTTGTGTCATGGTGTATGAAGGTTGTGTCATGATGTATGATGGTTGCGTTACGGTGTATGCTGGTTGTGTAACAGTTGTATGGTGGTTGTGTCACGATGTATGATGTTTGTGTCACAGTGTATGAAAGGTGTGTCATGGTGTATGATGGTTGTGTGACGGTGTATGATGGTTGTGTCACAGTGTATGATGGTTGTGTCATGGTGTATGATGGTCGTGTCACAGTGGATGAAAGGTGTGTCATGGTGTATGATGGTTGTGTCTTGGTGTCTGATGGTTGTGTCACAGTGTATGATGGTTGTGTCACAGTGTATGATGGTTGTGTCATGGTGTATGATGGTTGCGTTACGGTGTATGATGGTTGTGTCATGGTGTATGATGGTTGTGTAACAGTGTATGAAAGGTGCGTCATGGTGTATGATGGTTGTGTCACGGTGTATGATGGTTGTGTCAGTGTATGAAAGTTGTGTCATGGTGTATGATAGTTGTGTCGCAGTGTATGATAATTGTGTTACGGTGTATAAAAGTTGTGTCATGGTGTATGATAGTTGTGTCGCAGTGTATGATAATTGTGTTACGGTGTATGATAGTTGTGTCATGGTGTATGATGGTTGTGTCATGGTGTAGGATAGTTGTGTCATGGTGCATGATGGTTGTGTCATGGTGCATGATGGTTGTGTCATGGTGTAGGATAGTTGTGTCATGGTGCATGATGGTTGTGTCATGGTGTATGATGGTTGTATCATGGTGCATGAATGTTGTGTCATGGTGTAGGATAGGTGTTTCATGGTGTATGATGGTTGTGTCATGGTGTAGGATAGTTGTGTCACGGTGTATGATGGTTGTGTCATGGTGCATGAATGTTGTGTCATGGTGTAGGATAGGTGTTTCATGGTGTATGATGGTTGTGTCATGGTGTAAGATAGTTGTGTCACGGTGTATGATGGTTGTGTCACGGTGTATGATGGTTGTGTCATGGTGCATGATGGTTGTGTCATGGTGTAGGATAGTTGTGTCATGGTGCATGAATGTTGTGTCATGGTGTAGGATAGGTGTTTCATGGTGTATGATGGTTGTGTCATGGTGTAAGATAGTTGTGTCACGGTGTATGATGGTTGTGTCACGGTGTATGATGGTTGTGTCATGGTGCATGATGGTTGTGTCATGGTGTAGGATAGTTGTGTCATGGTGCATGATGGTTGTGTCATGGTGTATGATGGTTGTATAATGGTGCATGATGGTTGTGTGATGGTGTAGGATGGTTGTGTAATGGTGTATGATAGTTGTGTCACAGTGTATGAAAGTTGTGTCATGGTGTATGATAGTTGTGTTGCAGTGTATGATAATTGTGTTACGGTGTATGTTAGTTGTGTCATGGTGTATGATGGTTGTGTCGCAGTGTATGATAGTTGTGTCACAGTGTATGATAGTTGTGTAACAGTGTATGCTAGTTGTGTAACAGTTTATGATAGTTGTGTCATGGTGTATGAGGGTTCTGTCATGGTGAATGATAGTTGTGTCATGGTGTATGATGGTTGTGTCATGGTGCATGATGGTTGTGTCATGGTGTAGGATAGTTGTGTCATGGTGTATGAGGGTTGTGTCATGGTGTATGATAGTTGTGTCATGGTGTATGATAGTTCTGTCATGGTGCATGATGGTTGTGTCATGGTGTAGGATAGTTGTGTCATGGTGCATGATGGTTGTGTCATGGTGTAGGATAGTTGTGTAATGGTGTATGATAGTTGTGTCATGGTGTATGATAGTTGTGTAGTGGTGTATGCTAGTTGTGTCTTGGTGTATGTTGGTTGTGTCATGGTGTATGATGGTTGTGTCACAGTGTATGATAGTTGTGTCGTGGTGTATAATGGTTGTGTCATGGTGTATGATGGTTGTGTCATGGTGTATGATGGTTGTGTCACGGTTTATGATGGTTGTGTCATGGTGTATGATGGTTGTGTCGTGGTGTATGATTGTTGTGTCGTGGTGTATGATGGTTGTGTCATGGTGTATGATGGTTGTGTCACAGTGTATGAAAGGTGTGTCATGGTGTATGATGGTTGTGTCATGGTGTATGATGGTTGTGTCACAGTGTATGAAAGGTGTGTCATGGTGTATGATGGTTGTGTCATGGTGTATGATGGTTGTGTCATGGTAAATGATGGTTGTGTCATGGTGTATGATAGGTGTGTCACGGTGTATGAAAGTTGTGTCATGGTGTATGATGGTTGTGTCATGGTGTATGATAGTTGTGTCATGGTGTAAGATAGTTGTGTCATTGTGTATGATAGTTGTGTCACGATGTATGATACTTCTTTCACGGTATATGATAGTTGTGTCACGGTGTGTTATGGTGTGATAGTTGTGTCACGGTGTATGATAGTTGTGTCACAGTGTATGATAGTTGTGTGACAGTGTATGATAGTTTTGTCACGGTGTATGTTGGTTGTGTCAGGGTGTATGATACTTCTGTCACGGTGTATGATGGCTGTGTCATGGTGTATGATAGGTGTGTCACGGCGGACGCGATCAACTGATATGTTGACGTATATATAGCATGTGACGATAGAAAGATTAATGACTAATGCACATGCTGTGGTCTGAACAGTCACACTTCTAACCACATCATTCTGACTCCGTGTTTGCAGGTGCTGCGCCTATAAGACTGTATGGAAGGCTGTTATAAGGACGGAACGCTACTGTTGTTCGGGCTACGAGGGCAGTCGCTGTGATCAGCGTAGGTTCACTCATACTTTACAAAAATCATTTTTATCAGGATTTATAAAAGAAAGGAAAATACTTGGTGAATATGTTGGGTTTCCTGCAACAGATTTTTGTGATGAAACAATTTCCCCATGAGAAGCATGTAACCAAACAAAACACAATGCCTCTCTACTCGCCAAATAGCCACGCGCACTTCATTCTTCTTTGTCCTTTCTTTTGAATGTTCGCTCCCCAAATCATTTCAGTTCCGCTAGACAGAAATATGGTATTATATCCGTTTGAACGGGCGCTGGAAACTCCAGGATTCCCTTCATGGGTGAATGTGTGAATGTGTGGATGTGTGGCGTCCACAGCCGTTGTAACAAAACGCAGTCACACGTGTTACAATATAATTATTCCTGGAAGCAATCACATGTGTAACAATATTATTATTCCTGGAAGCAATCGCACATGTTACAGAATAATTATTCCTGGAAGCAATCGCACGTGTTACAGAATAATTGTTCCGAGAAGAAATTGCATGTGTTATAAGGTAATTGTTCCTGGAAACAATCACATGGATTACAATGTAATGGTTCCAGGAAGCAACCGCATGTGTTACAAAATAATTGTTCTTGAAAACAATCGCACGTCTTACCAATCTTTGTTCTTGGAAGCATAGCACGTGTTATAATATATATTTGTTCACGAAAACCATCGCAAGTGTTGCAATATCTTTGTTCCGGGAAGCAGTCGATTTAATTGTTGATCCGGGATCAGCTGACTGAGTCTTGGAACTGGGATGCAACATTTTCTCTTGTATTGTTGATCTAGAGAGAAGTATCTGGCTTCCCTCTACTGGTAGTCTTATGCTACAATCTTCCTGGAAACAAACACATGAGACTGTCAGGCAACAATCATTGGTAGACGAATTGTCCAGATAAGCCATGGGTTGATTGATTGTCCTGATAAGCCATTGCTTGATTGATTGTCCTGATCAGCCATTGCTTGATTGATTGTTCTAAGCCTTTGTATGCATGATTGTTCAGTGAGCAAGTGAGTTGGATTGGGAGTTGGATTTTACGCCCGCTTTGAGCAATGTTCCAGCAATATCACGGCTGGGCATGACTGTTCAGAAGGTAACTTGTTGAACATGAGATTTGTCAACTGACAGTCAGTCCTGCTGTAATCATTGTCATGTCCTTGCTCTTGTCTTTTCTATCTATTGAGTGGTTTTACTGTTGGTTGTTACTATTGGGTGGCTTTATTATCTATTGAGTAGGGAGGGGCACGGGTGGCCCAGTCGTCTAAGGCGCCGCGATTCGCTGTGCAGAGTTTCGTCCCTTGAGCACGCCAGAAACCTATGAATGTGGGTTCTAAACCCGGTTCGCCCCGATTATGTTTCTAGGTTTGTCAGCACCATACCCGTGCTCGTGGATTTCACCGAAGTGGTAAACGTCAGAGCCCTGCATCACTTCGGACTTTTCTCCCACATTAAGCTGACACGCCGCGATATAACTGTAATACTGTTAAAAGCGGCGCTACACCCAACTCACTTACTCACTCACTATTGAGTGGCTTTATTATCTATTGAGTGGTTTTATTATCTATTGAGTGTTTTTACTGTTGAGAGTAACTATTGAGTGGCTTTATTATCTATTGAGTGGTTTTACTGTTGAGAGTAACTATTGAGTGGCTTTATTATCTATTGAGTGGTTTTACTGTTGAGAGTAACTATTGAGTGGCTTTATTATCTATTGAGTGGTTTTACTGTTGAGAGTAACTATTGAGTGGTTTTATTATCTATTGAGTGGTTTTACTGTTGAGAGTAACTATTGAGTGGCTTTATTATCTATTGAGTGGTTTTATTATCTATTGAGTGGTTTTATTATCTATTGAGTGGCTTTATTATCTATTGAGTGGTTTTACTGTTGAGAGTAACTATTGAGTGGTTTTATTATCTATTGAGTGGTTTTACTGTTGAGAGTAACTATTGAGCGGCTTTATTATCTGTTGAGTGTTTTTACTGTTGAGAGTAACTATTGAGTAGGTTTATTATCTATTGAGTGGTTTTACTGTTGAGAGTAACTATTGAGTGGTTTTATTATCTATTGAGCGGTTTTACTGTTGAGAGTAACTATTGAGTGGTTTTATTATCTATTGAGTGGTTTTATTATCTATTGAGTGGCTTTATTATCTATTGAGTGGTTTTACTGTTGAGAGTAACTAATGGGTGGTTTTATTATCTATTGAGTGGTTTTACTGTTGAGAGTAACTATTGAGTGGCTTTATTATCTATTGAGTGTTTTTACTGTTGAGAGTAACTATTGAATGGCTTTATTATCTATTGAGTGGTTTTACTTTTGAGAGTAACTATTGAGTGGCTTTATTATCTATTGAGTGGTTTTATTATCTATTGAGTGTTTTTACTGTTGAGAGTAACTATTGAGTGGCTTTATTATCTATTGAGTGGTTTTACTGTTGAGAGTAACTATTGAGTGGCTTTATTATCTATTGAGTGTTTTTACTGTTGAGAGTAACTATTGAGTGGCTTTATTATCTATTGAGTGGTTTTACTGTTGAGAGTAACTATTGAGTGGCTTTATTATCTATTGAGTGGTTTTACTGTTGAGAGTAACTATTGAGTAGCTTTATTATCTATTGAGTGGTTTTACTGTTGAGAGTAACTATTGAGTGGCTTTATTATCTATTGAGTGGTTTTATTATCTATTGAGTGGTTTTATTATCTATTGAGTGGCTTTATTATCTATTGAGTGGTTTTACTGTTGAGAGTAACTATTGAGTGGTTTTATTATCTATTGAGTCGTTTTACTGTTGAGAGTAACTATTGAGCGGCTTTATTATCTATTGAGTGTTTTTACTGTTGAGAGTAACTATTGAGTAGCTTTATTATCTATTGAGTGGTTTTACTGTTGAGAGTAACTATTGAGTGGCTTTATTATCTATTGAGTGGTTTTATTATCTATTGAGTGGTTTTATTATCTATTGAGTGGCTTTATTATCTATTGAGTGGTTTTACTGTTGAGAGTAACTATTGAGTGGTTTTATTATCTATTGAGTGGTTTTACTGTTGAGAGTAACTATTGAGTGGTTTTATTATCTATTGAGTGGTTTTATTATCTATTGAGTGGTTTTATTATCTATTGAGTGGCTTTATTATCTATTGAGTGGTTTTACTGTTGAGAGTAACTATTGAGTGGTTTTATTATCTATTGAGTGGTTTTATTATCTATTGAGTGGTTTTATTATCTATTGAGTGGTTTTATTATCTATTGAGTGGTTTTACTGTTGAGAGTAACTAATGGGTGGCTTTCTGCTTTTTTTATTCTGCAGCTGTCTGTAATCCTGAGTGCGCTAATGGTGGCACGTGCATTAACCCGGGCAACTGCGCATGCCGAGCTGGTTACGCTGGTCCGAGTTGTCGAGGAAGTACGTATGACGCATGCATGAGGAACAACATCAGAACAATGACAATAAACAGTGGAGAATAACGGAAGTTTGTGCTGCGATCTGATTAATTGAAAAACACGTATTATATTGTTCTGGGAAATATGTTGGATATTTCATTGCGTCTGAATACGTTTCGTGATAATTATCAAGAGCGCCACACCCCTTTATATAATCATATCATGAGAACTATCTTCTAAAGGCGATTGTACGATTCCGACTATATCATGGCCATGAGTTTAGGAAACACGGTTGACTAGTGATGATACCAGGCATGCACAGACAAGTCAAGTGTTCACCTGGACAAACACGGGAACATGTGGTCAGATCAAAATACAGAATAGCATCACACATCAACTTGGACACTGATACGTCAAATACGGAAATACTGTTCACGTGTCTATCACAAACTTTTCTAAGAACTTCAATGTTGGAGTCCTAAGACCTTGACTAGTGTAACCCTAATACAAACCTGTTGAGCCAGGGTATGATGCTCTTTGGAATCTTGGTAGAAAGAGCATGCTCGATTATACCTCACAACTTGTGAACTGTCGACACCACAAGTTGGAGTCGCTGGGATAATCCTCCACATGATGGGAAAGTTGAAGTCACCCTCTTGTCATACAGTCTTGTTTTGTGTCTCTGAATTTTTATGCAAAGATCTTAGGTCTTCAGTAAACCATGCTTGCCGTAAATGGCGACTTTGCTTGTCGTAAGAGGCGACTAACGGGATCGGGTGGTCTGGCTCGCTGACTTGGTTCATGCATGTCATCGATCCCAATTGCGTGATTGATGCTCATGATGTCAATCCCTAGATTGTCTGGTCCAGATTCGATTATTTACAGACCGCCGTCATATAGCTGAAAAATTGCTGAGTGCGGCGTTAAACAACAAACAAACAAAAAAAGCATAGATTTACATATGAAACAAATTAGCAAGGAGTTGGTGCCCATGTTGATGATTACTGCGTGCCCAAATGTCCCATTCAAATTTCACATAGATGTGACCTATTGACCTATACAAAGGTTAAAGAGTGTGTCTTTCACCTTTCTGTTTCCTCGTTCAGCTGAAGCCTGCTCTCACCGATCCCCGTGCTTCCCAGGAATCTGCTCCGGAAGTTGCACTTGCCAGTCAGGATTCACACAAAAGACCTGCTTGACATGTAAGTGATTCATTTATGTTAATGCCTGCTAAGGTTCATAATTATTCACTCTTTGAACGCAAAACAATAATGTCCATGTCAATGTCCATGTCAATGTCCATATTAATGTCCATGTCCCCGTCCATGTCAATGTCCATGTCAATGTCCATGTCAATGTCCACATCAATGTCAATGTCACCGTCGATGTCAATGTCCATGTCACCGTCGATGTCCATGTCCATGTCACCGCCCATATCAATGTCTATATCAATGTCCATGTCAATGTCCATATCAATGTACATGTCACCGTCCATGTCAATGTCCATATCAATGTACATGCATATGTCACCGTCCATATCAATGTACATGTACCTGTCACCGTCCATATCAATGTCCATGTCAATATCAATGTCCATGTCACCGTCCATGTCAATGTCCATGTCAATGTACATGTCACCGTCCATGTCACCGTCGATGTCAATGTCCATGTCTACGTCCATATCAATGTCCATGTCACCGTCGATGTCAATGTCCATATCAACGTACATGTCACCGTCCATGTCACCGTCCATATCAATGTCCATGTCTACGTCCATATCAATGTCCATGTCAGTGTCCATGTCAATGTCCATATCAATGTACATGTCACCGTCCATATCAATGTCCATGTCTACGTCCATATCAATGTCCATGTCAGTGTCCATGTCAATGTCCATATCAATATACATGTCATCGTCGATATGAGTGTCCATGTCAATGTCCCTGTCAATGTCCCTGTCAATGTCTATGTCAATGTCCATGTCAATGTCCATGTCAATGTCCATGTCACCGTCCATATCAATGTCCATGTCTACGTCCATATCAATGTCCATGTCAGTGTCCATGTCTACGTCCATATCAATGTCCCTGTCAATGTCCATATCAATGTCCCCGTCAATGTCCATGTCAGTGTCCATGTCAATGTCCATGTCAGTGTCCATGTCTACGTCCATATCAATGTCCCTGTCAATGTCAATATCAATGTCCCTGTCAATGTCCCTGTCAATGTCCATGTCAGTGTCCATATCAGTGTCCATGTCAATGTCCATGTCAATGTCCATATCAATGTCCATGTCAATGTCCATGTCACCGTCCATGTCAATGTCCCTGTCAATGTCCATGTCAGTGTCCATGTCAATGTTCATATCAGTGTCCATGTCACAGTCCATGTCAATGTCCATGTCAATGTCCACATCAATGTCAATGTCACCGTCGATGTCAATGTCCATGTCACCGTCGATGTCCATGTCCATGTCACCGCCCATATCAATGTCTATATCAATGTCCATGTCAATGTCCATATCAATGTACATGTCACCGTCCATGTCAATGTCCATATCAATGTACATGCATATGTCACCGTCCATATCAATGTACATGTACCTGTCACCGTCCATATCAATGTCCATGTCAATATCAATGTCCATGTCACCGTCCATGTCAATGTCCATGTCAATGTACATGTCACCGTCCATGTCACCGTCGATGTCAATGTCCATGTCTACGTCCATATCAATGTCCATGTCACCGTCGATGTCAATGTCCATATCAACGTACATGTCACCGTCCATGTCACCGTCCATATCAATGTCCATGTCTACGTCCATATCAATGTCCATGTCAGTGTCCATGTCAATGTCCATATCAATGTACATGTCACCGTCCATATCAATGTCCATGTCTACGTCCATATCAATGTCCATGTCAGTGTCCATGTCAATGTCCATATCAATATACATGTCATCGTCGATATGAGTGTCCATGTCAATGTCCCTGTCAATGTCCCTGTCAATGTCTATGTCAATGTCCATGTCAATGTCCATGTCAATGTCCATGTCACCGTCCATATCAATGTCCATGTCTACGTCCATATCAATGTCCATGTCAGTGTCCATGTCTACGTCCATATCAATGTCCCTGTCAATGTCCATATCAATGTCCCTGTCAATGTCCATGTCAGTGTCCATGTCAATGTCCATGTCAGTGTCCATGTCTACGTCCATATCAATGTCCCTGTCAATGTCAATATCAATGTCCCTGTCAATGTCCATGTCAGTGTCCATGTCAATGTCCATATCAGTGTCCATGTCAATGTCCATGTCAATGTCCATATCAATGTCCATGTCAATGTCCATGTCACCGTCCATGTCAATGTCCCTGTCAATGTCCATGTCAGTGTCCATGTCAATGTCCATGTCAGTGTCCATGTCTACGTCCATATCAATGTCCCTGTCAATGTCAATATCAATGTCCCTGTCAATGTCCATGTCAGTGTCCATGTCAATGTCCATATCAGTGTCCATGTCAATGTCCATGTCAATGTCCATATCAATGTCCATGTCAATGTCCATGTCACCGTCCATGTCAATGTCCCTGTCAATGTCCATGTCAGTGTCCATGTCAATGTTCATATCAGTGTCCATGTCACAGTCCATGTCAATGTCCCTGTCAATGTCCATGTCAGTGTCCATGTCAATGTCCATATCAGTGTCCATGTCACCGTCCATGTCAATGTCCCTGTCAATGTCCATGTCAGTGTCCATGTCAATGTCCATATCAGTGTCCATGTCACCGTCCATGTCACCGTCCATATCAATGTCCATGTCTACGTCCATATCAATGTCCATGTCACCGTGCATATCAATGTCCATATCAATGTACATGTCACCGTCGATATAAGTGTCCACGTCAATGTCCATGTCAATGTCCACGTCAATGTCCATGTCAATGTCCATGTCAATGTCCATATCAATGTACATGTCACCGTCCATATCAATGTCTATATCCATGTCAATGTCCGACTAACCGTCCGATTGCTATTTTGCTATTAGTTTTCCCCACACTTCCACCGTGGCAAATATCCATGAAAAGATGTGACCAAATACAGTGGTATAGAATGGCTTCCAAACACTGACATAACTTTCATCTCGACAGTGAGGGACCAAGCACCTAGGATCTGGCAATGCCGCGCTCACCTTGAAAGTCGAAAAGTGTCCACGAATCCAGCTCTCAATGGAATGGTCATGTACGAATTCATCACCGATTCCTCCAACCCTGATATCGACACAGTGGACGTCATTTGGTCCAACCAAGTTGGATTTAATTATTTACAGATAGACGGGGCAGCTCAATCTAACACAGAGATACAGTACCCACAACCTGCCTATGTGAGAAACTCATCATTTGGCGTGACCAGTGCCGTGGCAAGGGTCCTGCACACAAAGATAGCCACAGGTAGGATGTACGTCAGTGGTTAATCCAACAACATAGCGCCTCCCCAATCTATCACGCACACGCACACAGACACAGACACTAACACACTAACACACTAACACTAACACACAGACAAACACACACACACAAACACACACACACACACACACACACACACACACACAGATACACATATAACACATGCACCTACCCCCCCCCCCCCCCCCCCCCCCAACACACACACACTTCACACAGACACAATCCCATCAAAACATCACACTCATCACACACAGACACACACTAACACACACAAACCTACACACAGAGTCACACATTAACACACACACCCATCGACCACACACGCATCACGCACACACACACGCACTGACACACACGGCCATCACAAAGACACAGACAGAACAAACTGACAAACTCGTTCGGATGGAAATTTCAAGTGCTGATAAATGCAGTTGAATCACACAGACACGCACAGACACACACCCACACATCACACAGACACACACACACACACACACCCTTCACACAAGCACACCCACATACACACATCACACAGACAGACACACACACCCATCACACAGACACACACACACCAATCACACACACATCACACACACACAAGTGCTGATCTAGCTTCACACACACCCATCACACAGACACACACGCCAATCACACATACATCACACACACGCATCACACACACACAAGTGCTGATCTAACTTCATAAATGCAGTTGAATTACACACACACACGCACAGGCACACACCCACACATCACACAGACACAGACACACACACCCATCACACAGGCACACACCCACATACACACATCACACAGACAGACACACACACCCATCACACAGACAAACACACTAATCACACACCAATCAGACACACACATCACACACACACATCACAAAGACACAGACAGAAACAGTTCAATCACAGACTCGTTCGGATGATAATTTCAAGTGCTGATCTAGCTTCATCAATGCAGCTGAATCACGAGTTCACAAACACACAAACTAACACACACACAGGCACACACATACACAACCACAGACACACACACCCGTCACAGAGACACACACAGACACGCACATACATAAACACAGACACACACACCTATCACACAGACACACGCACAGAAATACACACTAACACACACACCTTAGCACATAAACCCATCACACACACATCTCACACACACACACACACACTCACTCACTCACTCACTCACTCACTCACACACACACACTCACTCACACACACACGGCCATCACAAAGACGCAGACAGAAACAGTCCTATCACAGACTCGTTAGGACGGTAATTTCAAGTGCTGATCTTACTTTATTTATGCAACTGAATCACCCGTTCCTGGATTGTATGTAATTCAGGCAGAACACTTGACATTTGGCGAGAGGTCATGTCTAGGGCATCACAATGCTTAGACTTCCTGTCTGGAGACAGTGACGTGTACTTTAGAGCCAAACACTGTTGGGTCGCTTCATTGTCTTTTGGATGACAGGTTGAATAATGCTTACCGGATATCTGAGCTGAAAACTGAATGCAGAACAAAAATCTCCTCTGATCCCTGAACTCGATCTTTTAACCTTCTGCAAATATTAAGATCCTATCTCATCAATTCACCTATTACTAAAGAGGTCGCGTTTATTTTCTCATTGAGATGACACGGGTGGCCCAGTCGTCTAAGGCGCCCCGATTCGCTGTGCAGAGTTGCGCCACCTATGATTGTGGGTTCGAATCCCGGTTCGCCCCGATTATGTTACTAGGTTTGTCAGCACCATACCCGTGCTCGTGGATTTCAACGAAGTGGTAAACGTCTGGGACCTGCATCACTTCGGGCTTTCCTCCCACATTAAGCAGACACGCCGCGATATAACTGAAATACTGTTAAAAGCGGCGTTAAACCCAACTCACTCACTCACTATTTTCTGATCGTGTCATGGTCGAGTGAAATTTACAGGTATCGAATCTACGTTTGAAACCTCTGAATTTTAAATAACAGTATGTTTATCTCCTCATTAGATGTGTTGCTGCAGCAATAACACAACGAGGAGTTGTGATCTTAATGTTGAGCGAAGTTACCTGTGTACACATTTTGACTGCTCTCAAATCCCTTGAAGCGGTGCTCACGCTATCAACCAATGGTTCGCCTAGTCCCGATTATGTACATGCTGGCGTGTGACATCGCTTGAATACTGCCACCTGATACAGGGAACATTCAATCATGCACTCAGTTATTGACTGTTCACAGACACTGGTGACAGATACACGTCCAAGGCGGAGAACTACACTTGTGAGCAGAGGGATGGAAGGGGCGTTGCCACAGTCGAATATTGGAACTGCACGTCGAAAGAGCCGAGGTTTGACCGGTCCATCAATAATGCGGATGAGTAAGTCCCTCTCAGACCCACTAATCTAAGCTGTTGTCAGGAGCTACTAAACACTGTACAGTGGTATCAGGTTAACCCGTGAAGATCCGGGGTGATAATACAGAGAATGACTTGGGTGGTAATATAGATAACTACAGGAGTGATAATATAGAGAACTACAGGAGTGATAATATAGAGAACGACAGGGTTGATAATACAGAGAATGATGTGGGTGATAATATAGAGAACTACAGGAGTGATAATATAGAGAACTACGGGGGTGATAATATAGAGAACTACGGGGGTGATAATATAGAGAACGACTGGGCTGATAATACAGAGAATGATGTGGGTGATAGTACAGAGAACGACTTCGGTGATAATATAGAGAATGATGTGGGTGATAATATAGAGAACTACGGGGGTGATAATATAGAGAATGACTTCGGTGATAATATAGAGAACTACAGGAGTGATAATATAGAGAACGACAGGGTTGATAATACAGAGAATGATGTGGGTGATAATATAGAGAACTACGGGGGTGATAATATAAAGAACGACTTCGGTGATAATATAGAGAACTACAGGAGTGATAATATATAGAACGACAGGGTTGATAATACAGAGAATGATGTGGGTGATAATATAGAGAACTACGGGGGTGATAATATAAAGAACGACTTCGGTGATAATATAGAGAACTACAGGAGTGATAATATAGAGAACTACGGGGGTGATAATATAGAGAATGACTTCGGTGATAATATAGAGAACTACAGGAGTGATAATTTAGAGAACGACAGGGTTGATAATACAGATAATGATGTGGGTGATAATATAGATAACTACGGGGGTGATAATATAGAGAACTACGGGGTGATAATATAGAGAACGACTGGGCTGATAATACAGAGAATGATGTGGGTGATAGTATAGAGAACTGCGGAGGTGATAATATAGAGAACGACTGGGCTGATAATACAGAGAATGATGTGGGTGATAGTACAGAGAACGACTTCGGTGATAATATAGAGAATGATGTGGGTGATAATATAGAGAACTACGGGGGTGATAATATAGAGAATGATGTGGATGATAATATAGAGAACGACTGGGGTGATAATACAGAGAATGATGTGGGTGATAATACAGAAAATGACTGGGGGTGATAATATAGAGAATGATGTGGATGATAATATAGAGAACGACAGGGGTGATAATACAGAGAATGACTTCGGTGATAATACAGAGAATGATGTGGGTGATAATATAGAGAACGACAGGGGTGATAATACAGAGAACTACGGGGGTGATAATATAGAGAATGACTTGGGTGATAATATAGAGAATGACTTGGGTGATAATACAGAGAATGATGTGGGTGATAATATAGAGAATGATGTGGATGATAATATAGAGAATGACTTGGGTGATAATACAGAGAACTACGGGGGTGATAATATAGAGAACTTCGGGGTCGATAATATAGAGCATGATTTGGGTGATAATATAGAGAATGACTGGGGTGATAATATAGAGAATGACTTGGGTGATAATATAGAGAATGACTTGGGTGATAATATAGAGAATGACTTGGGTGATAATATAGAGAATGACTTGGGTGATAATATAGAGAACGAGAGGGGTGATAATACAGAGAACTACGGGGGTGATAATATAGAGAACTTCGGGGTCGATAATATAGAAAACGACAGGGGTGATAATGCAGAGAATGATGTGGGTGATAATATAGAGAACGACAGGGGTGATAATACAGAGAACGACAGGGGTGATAATACAGAGAACGACTTCGGTGATAATATAGAGAATGATGTGGGTGATAATATAGAGAACGACAGGGGTGATAATACAGAGAATGATCTGGGTGATAATATAGAGAACGACAGGGGTGATAATACAGAGAATGATCTGGGTGATAATATAGAGAACGACAGGGGTGATAATGCAGAGAATGATCTGGGTGATAATATAGAGAACGACAGGGGTGATAATACAGAGAACGACAGGGGTGATAATACAGAGAACGACTTAGGTGATAATATAGAGAATGATGTGGGTGATAATATAGAGAACGACAGGGGTGATAATACAGAGAATGATGTGGGTGATAATACAGAGAATGACTGGGGGTGATAATATAGAGAACTGCGGGGGTGATAATACAGAGAATGACTTGGGTGATAATATAGAGAACGACTGGGGTGATACTACAGAGAATGACTTCGGTGATAATATAGAGAACTGCGGGGGTGATAATACAGAGAATGACTTGGGTGATAATATAGAGAACGACTGGGGTGATAATATAGAGAACTGCGGGGGTGATAATACAGAGAATGACTTGGGTGATAATATAGAGAACGACTGGGGTGATAATATAGAGAACTGCGGGGGTGATAATACAGAGAATGACTTGGTTGATAATATAGAGAACGACTGGGGTGATAATATAGAGAACTGCGGGGGTGATAATACAGAGAATGACTTCGGTGATAATATAGAGAACTGCGGGGGTGATAATACAGAGAACGACGGGGGTGATAATACAGAGAATGACTTAGGTGATAATATAGAGAACTACGGAGGTGATAATATAGAGAACTACGGGGGTGATAATATAGAGAATGCTGTGGATGATAATATAGAGAACGACTGGGGTGATAATACAGAGATTGATGTGGGTGATAATACGTAGAACGACGGGGGTGATAATATAGAGAACAACAGGGAGTTATTATGTTGACGACTTTGGTGATAATACAGAGAACGACAGGGTTGCTAATATAGAGTACGACTCGGGTGATAATATAGATAACGACTGGAGTTATAATATAGATGTCTAGTGAGGTGATAATATAGAGAACGACTGGGGTGATAATATAGAGAACTGCGGGGGTGATAATACAGAGAATGACTTCGGTGATAATATAGAGAACTACGGGGGTGATAATATAGAGAACTACGGGGGTGATAATACAGAGAACGACAGGGGTGATAATACAGAGAATGATGTGGATGATAATATAGAGAACGACTGGGGTGATAATACAGAGATTGATGTGGGTGATAATACGTAGAACGACGGGGGTGATAATATAGAGAACAACAGGGAGTTATTATGTTGACGACTTTGGTGATAATACAGAGAACGACAGGGTTGCTAATATAGAGTACGTCTCGGGTGATAATATAGATAACGACTGGAGTTATAAAATAGATGTCTAGTAAGGTGATCATATAGAGAATGACAGGGGTGATAATATAGAGAACGACAGGGGTGATAATATAGATGTCTAGTGGGGTGATAATATAGATGTCTAGTGGGGTGATAATATAGATGTCTAGTGGGGTGATGATATAGATGTCTAGTGGGATGATAATATAGAGAACGACAGGGGTGTTAATATATATGTCTAGTGGGGTGATAATATATATGTCTAGTGGGGTGATAATACAGATGTCTAGTGGGGTGATAATATAGATGTTTAGTGGGGTGATAATATATATGTCTAGTGGGGTGATAATATAGATGTTTAGTGGGGTGATAATATAGATGTCTAGTGAGGTGATAATACAGATGCCTAGTGGGGTGATAATATAGATGTTTAGTGGGGTGATAATATAGATGTTTAGTGGGGTGATAATATAGATGTCTAGTGAGGTGATAATACAGATGCCTAGTGGGGTGATAATATAGATGTTTAGTGGGGTGATAATATAGATGTTTAGTTGGGTGATAATATAGATGTTTAGTGGGGTGATAATATAGATGTTTAGTGGGGTGATAATATAGATGTCTAGAGGGGTGATAATACTGATGCCTAGTGGGGTGATAATATAGATGTCTAGTGGGGTGATAGATAGAAAATACTACACTCATTTTCGTTAGATACCATTTTTACGAAACGAGTGGACTTTATATGGTATCTGACCGAGCGAAAGCGAGGTCAGATATCATAGAAAGTTCACGAGTTACGTAAAAATGGTATCTAACGAGAATGAGTGTGGTATTTTATTTATTACCCACGTTAAATATGTATGTAAGTGTAAATACATAACAACTTTTGTTCGTTGACAGACCAAACTGAAACCGGTTGCAAAATCTGGTTGCGCATGAATATTGATATATGCCCAAATATGGGCATTGTTTACATTCCTATGCATACGCATTAACAACATGCGCCTGCAGTTGTGTTTGCAAAAATAACTGCACCGACGCTCAAGATCCTTTTGGAAGAATTTCTTCAATTTATGAGAATTCAAGCGCCATGATGTTAGTACGCAGGACACCTATAAGAAAATTTTAAAAGTCGCGCCGCGCTTTGAATATCGGACCAAGAGTCGGTCACTCGCACCGCCGGGGTCTGTTCATTCAAGATGGTTCGGTTTCCTTGATCTATCATTTGAATTTATATCGTGTCCGTACCATTTTGGAAGAGGGAAATCAGAGTGTTCATGTTTACTGTATCACCCTTTACTGAAGACGTGAAAATCAACACACTATGTCTGCTTGGATTCAGTGACAGCTTCGAACGAAGGGCAAGGTCACTACCGGAATAAGAAAAGACAACCGTGATCTACTCAGCGTTTTTTACGCTAGAGATAGGGAATGTTATTGTTCACCTTTGGGATATTTTGGGCCACATAATCAGAAATCAGGCACACTTTTTCGGAGCTTTCGAATGATTTTTATCGGAAATGTTCACTTTGAGTGATCTGGTTGTGCAGTCGTGAACAAACAACTCCCGAAACAGTGCCACAAAATACCCTTCGAGGAGGACACTGATGGCACAACCGGATCATCCCAATTAAATCTAGATATCTGTCAAGATAGATTAAACTGACTTCATTTCACCACGCTTATCCTTTTACGTTAAATCAAATTGGAAGTTGCGAAAGTAGTCGGGTGCGTCACGCTCATTGGGACCCTCGATCTATTGAACGGTAGTCGAACATTGTAAATGGATATAGCTCGATTATATAATGTCTGTGGAAGCTCAATGCATAACATATATAGGATTGATGCGTGTGACTATCTTGTTTGGTTTAATAAAGTGTTTGTTAATATCCCTCGCTCACATGAGATTGCTTCAGTTCTGCCTTGTAGTTGGAAAATGAATCACGTCTCGCGATTTTTTATGAATAAAAAAAGTAGTCCCGGTGTGACAGAAGTCACTGTTATCCAATCAAAACGAATAAAACAAGGTCAACCTTGTACGACACACGTGTGACGTACGGATTTAGTATCTTACCACTTGTATCTACACCACGTGGGTAATAATACAGATGTCTAGTGGGGTGATAATATAGATGTTTAGTGGGGTGATAATACAGATGTCTAGTGGGGTGATAATAAAAATGTCTAGTGGGGTGATAATATAGATGTTTAGTTGGGTGATAATATAGATGTCTAGTGGGGTGATAATATAGATGTCTAGTGGGGTGATAATACAGATGTCTAGTGGGGTGATAATACAGATGTCTAGTGGGGTGATAATGCTGATGTCTAGTGGGGTGATAATACAGATGTCTAGTGGGGTGATAATAAAAATGTTTAGTGGGGTGATAATACAGATGTCTAGTGGGGTGATAATAAAAATGTCTAGTGGGGTGATAATACAGATGTCTAGTGGGGTGATAATACAGATGTCTAGTGGGGTGATAATATAGATGTTTAGTGGGGTGATAATATTGATGTCTAGTGCGGTGATAATACTGATGTCTAGTGGGGTGATAATACAGATGTCTAGTGGGGTGATAATATAGATGTTTAGTGGGGTGATAATATAGATGTCTAGTGGGGTGATAATAAAAATGTCTAGTGGGGTGATAATATAGATGTTTAGTGGGGTGATAATATAGATGTCTAGTGGGGTGATAATATAGATGTCTAGTGGGGTGATAATACAGATGTCTAGTGGGGTGATAATACAGATGTCTAGTGGGGTGATAATGCTGATGTCTAGTGGGGTGATAATACATATGTCTAGTGGGGTGATAATAAAAATGTTTAGTGGGGTGATAATACAGATGTCTAGTGGGGTGATAATAAAAATGTCTAGTGGGGTGAGAATACAGATGTCTAGTGGGGTGATAATACAGATGTCTAGTGGGGTGATAATATAGATGTTTAGTGGGGTGATAATATTGATGTCTAGTGCGGTGATAATACTGATGTCTAGTGGGGTGATAATACAGATGTCTAGTGGGGTGATAATATAGATGTTTAGTGGGGTGATAATATAGATGTTTAGTGGGGTGATAATATAGATGTTTAGTGGGGTGATAATATACATGTAGATGTTTAGTGGGGTGATAATATAGATGTTTAGTGGGGTGATAATATAGATGTCTAGTGATAATAACTAGTTTGTGGCTGATATTGGGAACTAGTGGGTTGAGAATATAGAGACTTAGTTGAGGGTGATAATATAGATGTTTAGTACGATGATGACAAAGATTAATAGCATAGGGACCTAGCTGCATTGTAAAAGGATTACTTGAGATAAACAGCTAGTAAGTAAATACTGTAGCTGGTGTGCTGTTAACGAAGGGTGAATTAAAGGATACGTTTCACGTTGCGTAGGATTGAAGTGACCCTGACCTTCACCAGTGGAGGACGCAGGGAGCTGGTCAACCCGGAAACTGGACGTTTCTTCAAGAACGAGGACTACACTCAGTTGACTTCATTAAAGACGCTCATGTTCAAGTTCGACCTGAATAAACCTGAACACTGCTACAGTCAACCGTCCTGCCGTACATCACCACTACACATAGACAGGGATATTACACGAGTGAGTCCCCCCCCACCGAATAGTCCGCGCAATTCATGCCGGTGTCAGAGAGTGGAATTTCCCCCCTAGCCTAATTACCCCCCGGAAAAAGGACTATATAGCCAAACTTCCCCCGGAAAACTGGCTATATAGCCATACTTCCCACGGAAAGCATACTATATAGCCATACTTCCCACGGAAAGCATACTATATGGCCATACTTCCCACGGAAAGCATACTATATGGCCATATTTCCCACCCGGAAAATACACTACATAGCCAATTTTCCGCTTTGGAGTCAGATTTCCCCCATAAGTAAATATATGTCTATTATCAAAAGTACCTAGATGTACAGTTGGCTGATGGAGTAATTTACAAGAGAAACCATGATCAAAATCTTGTGGTTTTTTGCGCCATACATTCTTAATTTTAATAAATAGAGGATAGTTCATTTCGACAGTGAGATATGGCGGATCTGTCACTCGACAGATCAGATCAGCATTTTGTCACTTACGAAATTATTTTTTTTATTTATTATATATTTATTTAGTAGGGTAAGTGTTGTTTTGGTTTTTTTATTTTGTGTATTTGAGGTAAATCAGCGAATCTAAAATCTTCCATATGTCTTCAGGAGCAATACGTCACATTGCTAGTTGAAACACATTTTGCTAGTTGATTTCTATCAGGTCTGCACTGTAAACTTGAACGGCAGTCGTTCTCCTTATCATGGTTGCAGTGACATATCACTTTTCTGTCATCGAGAATCCTCAGTCGCTCACTGCCAAGTATATTATAAGGTATATTTACAACGTATATAGCGCATATATCTGTGCGTGCTCATGGCGTTTCTTGCCCCGATCAGAGGTCCGTATATTTTGCATTCCAGAACTTCCCAGCTACATGTGAAATATGCAACCAAAGCTGCCTGTCAGGCTCTAGAAGATTACCCATTCACATTACCATTACCACATTAACTCCTTGGTACCCATTTACTGTTTGTGGACAGAGGCATGCATGAACAAGATCACTTGCCAAAGGTGACGCCGCAAGTTTTTCAACTCGTGTTTCAGTGGAAGATATATGATTCCAACACACCATTAATCACTGCATTGTAGAAAATCACTGACGTAAAGTATTTACTTGTATCCAGCAGCAGTTCATAAATAAGTTCTCTGGCATGAATAACAAGTGGCAAGTCGGAATCGTCTATGTTTTCAACACTAAACTCTACATGATTCCTAAAAGCTTGTTTTCAATTGAGACACGTTTAACTTCAATTTCTCTGTCAAATATGGCATGCAATACGTTAGGTTTTGCCATTGCTGTTTGATCAATGTTTGTTAAATGGTGCTGTAGGTTATGTTTTTTAATACTGCATTGAAAAATCTGAGGGATATAGGGGAAATTCTGCTATATAGTCATATTTCCCCCTTGTGCTAAGGGGGGAAATCTGACTCTAAAGCGGAAATATGGCTATGTGGTAATCTTTCCCCGGGGGAAATTTAGCTATATAGCCCTTTTCCGGGGGAAAATTAGGCTATATAGCCCCTTTTCCGGGGGGAATTTAGGCTAGGGGGGAAATCACACTCTCTGACACCGGCCCCTGTCAACTCAATACATACAAGCGACACCATGGCACATGAGTGTGTCATCCACTCTATCAGCACCCGTCGTATCAGCTCCCACCCTGCCACGACCATTCATTGTTTCTAACATTCTGCAGTTGCTGAGTTGCTTCCCTTTGTTGCTAGGTTCGAATCTCTCTTTTCTATATGATTGCTTGTTTCACCTGAGTGATCAACACCTGCGTCGTGCTGGGTTCCTCCGCCACGTCACGCTGTCACGCACTCACGCACTTGCTATTGATACGGTGGGGAAACATTGTGGCTTAAGCGGTCGGAGGCCCAGGTTTGACAAAGGTGCACTGAGTGAAGCCCATCCCCCGCCCATGATATTGCTGTAATATTGCTGAAAGCGGCGTAAAACCGGACTTACTCACTTGTCACATATCTGTTGTAGACTCCAGTCGCAATTACTTGGGATGGCTGGACGGACGTGCTGTCTGGTATGCACCGCTATGCATGGGAGGTGTTCCGACTTGACATCATCACCGCGGACAGCAAGCTGGGGGAGAAGACGCCCCTCGAACCCCTCATCAATAGGGAGTGGCTGGCAGCTAACGGCACCCCCCGGGTGGAGTATCCCCCGCCTACACCCGGCATGTACTCCGTCATCTTGGAGGCCTCGGACCGAGCCAACAACTCGCGGTACGCCCGGCGACTGTTTCTGTACGACAACGTCTCCAACGTCACCACCAGCGACAACGACCCGCTGTTCATATCTAGCGCTGCAGCAGACACTGGTCACACGTGGCAGGCGAACCTCGACGCCGACGTTGTCGTGGAATGGGGAGGACACTTCGCTAACGACGTTCACGACAAGGGCAAATTTTTGAACGCAGTGCTGAAGTACCCCACTCAGTTTGCAGACATCGAAAAAGAAGTCGGCTCTTCCAGTCGGTTCACTCTCAAAGGTGTAACGTTCGATGACGATGAAGGGGAGAGAACTCGTGCTGCAATCCCCAATGTCCGCGGTATTGTGAAGTTTGAAGTATCCTATGGTCGGGACCATGCCGGGGGGTCCACATTATCCTCCCCCAAAGCATGGAGCCAGGTACAACCAGTTGGGGAAAGATTTGTGATTAGAAACGAAAACCGAATCAACGGTGACAGTATCCGGGTTTGGGTGCGGGCGACGGACATTATGAGTAATACGAAGATAGATAGCACACTGGTCAGCTTTGATAACTCCAAGCCAGTTGTCAAGCTGCGAGAATTGGAAAAAAATGTGCAGAATGGGACGTACCATTACTCATCTCTGTAAGTATATCATCCTCCCTGTGATTGTAACTCCTCTCTGTAAGTATATCATCCTCCCTGTGAGTGTAACTCCTCTCTGTAAGTATATCATCCTCCCTGTGAGTGTAACTCCTCTCTGTAAGTATATCCTCCTCCCTGTGAGTGTAACTCCTCTCTGTAAGTTTATCATCCTCCCTGTGAGTGTAACTCCTCTCTGTAAGTATATCCTCCTCCCTGTGAGTGTAACTCCTCTCTGCAAGTATATCATCCTCCCTGTGAGTGTAACTCCTCTCTGTAAGTATATCATCCTCCCTGTGAGTGTAACTCCTCTCTGTAAGTATATCATCCTCCCTGTGAGTGTAACTCCTCTCTGTAAGTTTATCATCCTCCCTGTGAGTGTAACTCCTCTCTGTAAGTATATCCTCCTCCCTGTGAGTGTAACTCCTCTCTGCAAGTATATCATCCTCCCTGTGAGTGTAACTCCTCTCTGTAAGTATATCATCCTCCCTGTGAGTGTAACTCCTCTCTGTAAGTATATCCTCCTCCCTGTGAGTGTAACTCCTCTCTGTAAGTATATCCTCCTCCCTGTGAGTGTAACTCCTCTCTGTAAGTATATCATCCTCCCTGTGAGTGTAACTCCTCTCTGTAAGTATATCCTCCTCCCTGTGAGTGTAACTCCTCTCTGTAAGTATATCCTCCTCCCTGTGAGTGTAACTCCTCTCTGTAAGTATATCATCCTCCCTGTGAGTGTAACTCCTCTCTGCAAGTATATCATCCTCCCTGTGAGTGTAACTCCTCTCTGTAAGTATATCATCCTCCCTGTGAGTGTAACTCCTCTCTGTAAGTATATCATCCTCCCTGTGAGTGTAACTCCTCTCTGTAAGTATATCCTCCTCCCTGTGAGTGTAACTCCTCTCTGTAAGTATATCATCCTCCCTGTGAGTGTAACTCCTCTCTGTAAGTATATCATCTTCCCTGTGAGTGTAACTCCTCTCTGCAAGTATATCATCCTCCCTGTGAGTGTAACTCCTCTCTAAAAGTATATCATCCTCTCTGGGAGTATATCGACCGCCTCCGTGATCTAGTGGTAGAGCGTCCGCCGGGGGAGCGGAAGGTAGGGGGTTCGATCCCTGGCAGCGTCATACCAAAAGACGTGACAAGTGTTACTTGTTACCCTGCTTGGCGCCCATGTTAAATTGCGGCAGGGTATCTCAGTGGGCTGGCACCATAAAATCAGCATCAATTCTGACTAGTACAAGCACACGCACGTCGCTATATAAGTGCAATAATCTTGGACGCGACGTTAAACCCCATTTCACCTCGCCTGTGAGAATATCACCCTCTATGTAAGTTTGGCCATGTTTGTACGTCACTTTTAACGTACTGGATTCCCCGCTGTGGCCACGACAACTTATAGGATTCTGGATATCTGTCGGTGAGAAAGAGCTGTAGTTGAAAGCGTTAAGTAACTTAACGTTTGTTCAAGGATGGCCATGTTAATGTATTACAGCGTGCCCCTGACGGCTATAGATGACGACAGCGGACTGTGGGAGGTCTCCTGGCGTCTTGTACGGAACAGCACGGGGACGGTGGCGCGCAAAGGGACGCTGGATCGGACACAGTACACACTGAATGTAGGTCAACACAAAATGAAAGTACAAACAGACCATAAGTTAACCAGACCGTGAGTGAAAATATACCGTAATTACGAACTGACCGTATGTACAAAATAACCATAAGTTAACCAGACCGTGAGTGAAAATATACCGTAATTACGAACTGACCGTATGTACAAAATGACCATAAGTTAACCAGACCGTGAGTGAAAATATACCGTAATTACGAACTGACCGTATGTACAAAATGACCATAAGTTAACCAGACCGTGAGTGAAAATATACCGTAATTACGAACTGACCGTATGTACAAAAAGACCATAAGTTAACCAGACCGTGAGTGAAAATATACCGTAATTACGAACTGACCGTATGTACAAAATGATCATAAGTTAACCTGACCGTGAGTGAAAATATACCGTAATTACGAACTGACCGTATGTACAAACAAACCATAAGTTAACCAGACCGTGAGTGAAAATAGACCGTAATTACGAACTGAGCGTATGTACAAACAGACTATAAGTAAAACCAGACCGTAATTACGAACTGACCGTAATTACGAACTAACCGTATGTACAAACAGACCATAAGTTAACCAGACCTAGAGTGAAAATAGACCGTAATTACGAACTGACCGTATGTACAAACAGACTATAAGTTAACCAGACCGTGAGTGAAAATAGACCGTAATTTCGAACTGACCGTCTGTCCAAACAGATCATATGTACAAACAGACCGAAAGATCAAAGCGACCGTATGTACAATCAGACCGAAAGATCAAACGGACCATATGTACAAAAAGACCAAAGGAATAAAGAGACCAAATGTACAAACAGACAGAAAGATCAAACAGACCGTATGTACAAACAGACAGAAAGATCAAACAGACCGTATGTACAAACAGACATAAAGATCAAACAGACCGTATGTACAAATTAAACAGACAAAAAGCTCAAACAGACCGTATGTACAAACAGACCATAAGATCAAACAGACCCTATGTACAAACAGACCGTATGTTTGTTTGTTGTTTAACGCCATACTCAGCAATATTCCAACTATATGAAGGCGGTCTGGACCAGACAATCTAGTGATTGGTATAATGAGCATCGATCCACGCAAATTGGATACGATGACATGCATCAACCAAGTGAGAGAGCCTGACCACCCGATCCCGTTGGTCGCCTCTTATGACAAGCACAGTACGAGCAGACCATAAGATCTAACAGACCTTAATTACAAATTAACCGCCCGTGCAAACTTAATGTAAGTGGGAACTACCCATTCCAAATACATTTATTTGTCTTGATTCCTCTGTTGTGCCAACAGTTAAGTAGTCCAATAGAACCTGTCAAAACATTAAGTCACACATTATTTTCAATTGCAGAAACTCTCAAATTATGCCACAACAAACGGACAAATATGTATCCAGATACCGATAAACTCTCACAATGAAATACTTGTCACCATGGCAACGTCATCCTATATGAATCTTTAGGGATGCGTTGAAGTGTAGCGTTCAGTAACTTAAGGGTTGTTTAAGGAGAGCCACGTTAGTGTGTTACAGTGTCCCCTTAATCTCCATCCCCAGAAAGCCGAGTACGACGCAGATCCCGCGTTAGGCCGCTGCACGCCATCCAACGACTGCTTCCGCAGCACCGTCAGCATCCCCATCAACCATTGCTGGCTGAGGGTGGAGAAGGAGAGTATCGCTACAGAGGTCATGACCCTGACAGTCAAGGTCACCAACCCCGCCATGCTCAGCACGACAAGCTCTCTCCAGGTCACTATAAGCACTTCTGCCGTGTTGCAAAATTAATATGGAAGTGAGATAATGCACACATATATGTATATTTATATTATTTTGCAATAACAATCCTAAGGTTGTAATCTAGACTGATGAGTTACGCCTGGGGTAGGCTGTCACAGTCTTGTCAAGGGAGGCTGTCACAGTCTTGTCAAGGGAGGCTGTCACAGTCTTGTCAAGGGAGGCTGTCACAGTCTTGTCAAGGGAGGCTGTCGCAGTCTTGTCAAGGGAGGCTGTCACAGTCTTGCCAAGGGAGGCTGTCACAGTCTTGCCAAGGGAGGCTGTCGCAGTCTTGTCAAGGGAGGCTGTCACAGTCTTGCCAAGGGAGGCTGTCACAGTCTTGTCAAGGGAGGATGTCACAGTCTTGTCAAGGGAGGCTGTCGGTCTCCTCGTGGAAAGCTACGGGTTCAAAACGAAACATTGGTTCAAAGGTTTAAATAAATCGTTCCTATTTTCAGATAACGAACATCAACAGTTTCAGTGGAATAGGTGAATGTAAGTATTCTGACGTCTATGTGTCGTCTTTTATTCTAAACTAATGTTGTCTGTGAAAGGCATTTAGAAGTCATACACATAAGAAAGAGAATTTTATGGATGTCAACTTCTTTATAATGAGAAAGACAACGTTTCGGAATATATGCTTACTCCTTCTTCCCCTGTACTCCGAAACGTTGTGTTTCTCATAATACAGAAGTTGACTGTATATATGCATATAACGAACTACGGTATATCGAACTAAACTCTGTGGCCCTTGAGTTCGTTATAGCGTAGTTTACTGTACATGCTCTCCCTCCGCCGCCCGGTCCGGCTGATCCACGTGTTGTGCCTTAACTATGTGTACTACCTTTGTATGTATATACCCCCCACCCCACCCCACCCCCAACCACTCCACACCCACCCACCCCCGCTCCCCGCTACCAGTTCGTCATGATCTGACTATGTGTTGAAGATCCCCTACCGAGCTTTAGAAGTTAGTTATGTGTGTATCTCATCAATGAATGCGACATTTCGTCGTAGACACAATTCTACTGACATGCATGTTCTAACTTTCATTGTGCCAACAAATTCACCAGTTCTATTCATTTCTCACCACTCCACCCCTGTCACTAGACGCTCCCCCACGTGATGTGCGAGTTATCCGGGGCGGATACAACACTATCCGCATCTCCTGGACCAACTCCCCCAGCTGCTACAACGTCAGCGAACTGTGGATCAACTACACGGGGGCGGCCGTCAAGGAGAAGATCCATCGTCTCAACACCTTCTACGACCTGACCGGTCTCCAGCCCGAGACTAACTACACGGCCCATCTTATAAATGGATACGGCGGGGAGATGAGTGACGCGGTGGAGTTCCAATTTAGGACAGGTTTGTAGATAGATGGTACATTACACATAAAGCTCTTACCACTCTTATATGACGACAGTCTGTACGTAATCGCGTCTGGATCAGACAACCCAGTGATTGACATCATGAGCATCGATCCACGCAATTGAGATACGATGACATGCATCAACCAAGTCAGCGAGTCTAACCATCCGATTCCGTTAGTCGCCTCTTAGATACGATGCCAGTTGATAGGACCTGATACGAATACAGCTGACAGGACCTGATACGATGCCAGTTGATAGGACCTGATACGATGACAGCTGATATGACCTGATTACGACAAGTTTAGGTTGCTGAAGTCCTATTCTACCCTAGATCTTCACGGGTAAACCTAGTATCACTGTACAGTGTTTAGTAGCTCCTCACAACAGCTGAGATTAGTGGGTTGCTGAAGTCCTATTCTACCCTAGATCTTCACTGGTAAACCTAGTATCACTGTACAGTGTTAAGTAGCTCACCACAACAGCTGGGATTAGTGGGTTGCTGAAGTTCTATTCTACCCTAGATCTTCACTGGTAAACCTAGTATCACTGTACAGTGTTTAGTAGCTCACCACAACAGCTGGGATTAGTGGGTTGCTGAAGTCCTATTCTACCCTAGATCTTCACTGGTAAACCTAGTATCACTGTACAGTGTTTAGTAGCTCACCACAACAGCTGGGATTAGTGGGTTGCTGAAGTCCTATTCTACCCTAAATCTTCACGGGTAAACCTAGTATCACTGTACAGTGTTTAGTAGCTCCTCACAACAGCTGAGATTAGTGGGTTGCTGAAGTCCTGTTCTACCCTAGATCTTCACTGGTAAACCTAGTATCACTGTACAGTGTTTAGTAGATCACCACAACAGCTGGATTTAGTGGGTTGCTGAAGTCCTATTCTACCCTAGATCTTCACTGGTAAACCTAGTATCACTGTACAGTGTTTAGTAGCTCACCACAACAGCTGGATTTAGTGGGTTGCTGAAGTCCTATTCTACCCTAGATCTTCACGGGTAAACCTAGTATCACTGTACAGTGTTTAGTAGCTCACCACAACAGCTGGAATTAGTGGGTTGCTGAAGGCCTATTCCACTCCGGATCTTCACAGGTCTGTTGCCGATAGAATTAGGTAGAAATGGTACCATGTAACACAACATGTGGATGTTATAGAATAACTAGTCTAAGTGTTGATGATCCGCAGAAACAGATTCCATGTGGCGTATAGGGCAAAATAGCTATGAAACTTGTATGACAGGGTCCCTGAAACTCAGTGATGACACCAGGTGTTCACGCCTGGTAATCACGTGACAGAACACCCAGCAGGACTGAGTGACCAGTGTTCCCGGGGCGGACACCGCTCTGTCACCAATACACAGGCAGGAGGTCGGATCTTGGAGTCCAATTAAAACTTGTAGGTTAAACAATGATATTATACAACCGCTTCTGGCAGCAGCTAGCAGAATGCTTCAACGCAAAAAAAAAATCAGTTTACAGATGTTTCTTTAGCAATTTCACTTGCTAAATCGCTTGTACAGTAAACTACTTTTATAACGAACACGCTAATAACGAAGTAAAGGATATGACGAACTGTTTTTTGGATGCCGTCCAATTGCTGTATATACGCTGTATATATGCTTATAACGAACTACGGTTATAACGAACTAAACTAAAATTAGTGGTCCCTTTGAGTTCGTTACAACCGTAGTTTACTGTATTCCAATACTTATGTTTTAATGTTGAGTTTGTAATGAACATAGAATGTATTCAGTGCGTCCTAAGTGTTTTAGAATGGCCAAAGTAGCATAGCATGTTTTTTGACTGTATCGCTTTATCAGTATACATAGCAATACTTGTAATATCCCTTTGACTCTTAAATAAAACTTTTTTTTCTTCTTTTCCTCCTTCATCTTCATTCTCTCATCATCATCAACATCTACTTCTTCGTCATATGACCCGGCGACGTAAGGAAATGTTGACTGTCTTTTATACACAGATCGCGCTGGTTCTTGCACGGAGGGGGCTTAGTTTATACATAGATAGCGCAGGTTCTTGCACGGAGGGGGCTTAGGTTTATACACAGATAGCGCTGGTTCTTCCACGGAGGGGGCTTAGGTTTATACACAGATAGCGCTGGTTCTTCCACGGAGGGGGCTTAGGTTTATACACAGATCGCGCTGGTTCTTGCACGGAGGGGGCTTAGGTTTATACACAGATAGCGCTGGTTCTTCCACGGAGGGGGCTTAGGTTTATACATAGATCGCGCTGGTTCTTGCACGGATGGTGGCGGTCGGGTAGCCTAATGGTCAAAGCGTTCGCTCGTCACGCCGAAGACCCGGGTTCAATTCCCGACATGGGTACAATGTGTGAAGCCCATTTCTGGTGTCCCCCGCCGTGATATTGCTGGAATATTGCTAAAAGCGGCGTAAAACCATACTCACTCACTCACTCTTGCACGGAGGGGGCTTAGGTTGAGAGGGGATGCGGAGACAGAACTTCGGCGCACTTAAGAAACATGTTGAACAAAATAGATATTCTTTATCCACTAATTTTTAACAGACCTATTGAAGAGGATTTTTACTATGATATACACTTCAACGGCTGTGTCCCGCCGGGCAAAATAAGGAAACACCCATGTTTGACAGTGACTAAAAATGGAAGACACAAGAAGTGTTTATCCTGTCTGTGCTCTGTGTTTAGCATCATCTACAACGCTATCCGTCTGTCTGTATCCTGTCTATACCTTGTGTTTAGCATCATCTACAACACTATCCGTCTATCTGTATTCTGCCTGTGCCCTGTGTTTGGCATCATCTACAACACTATCCGTCTATCTGTATGCGGTCTATATCATGTGTTTAACATAATCTACAAAACTATCCCTCTATCTGTATCCTGTCTATACCTTGTGTTTAGCATCATCTACAACACTATCCGTCTACCTGTATCCTGTCTGTGCCCTGTGTTTGGCATCATCTGCAACACTATCCGTCTACCTTTATCCTGTCTGCGCTCTGTGTTTGGCACCATCTGCAACACTATCCGTCTATCTGTATCCTGTCTGTGCTCTGTGTTTGGCATCATCTACAACACTATCCGTCTGTCTGTATCCTGTCTATACCTTGTGTTTAGCATCATCTACAACACTATCCGTCTACCTGTATGCGGTCTATACCCTGTGTTTAGCATCATCTACAACACTATCCGTCTATCTGTATCCTGTCTGTGCTCTGTGTTTAGCATCATCTAAAACACTATCTGTATATCTGTATCCTGTCTGTGCTCTGTGTTTAGCATCATCTGCAACACTATTAGTCTATCTGTATCCTGTCTATATCCTGTGTTTAGCATCATCTACTACACTATCCGTCTATCTGTATGCGGTCTATACCCTGTGTTAAGCATAATCTACAACACTATCCGTCTATCTGTATCCTGTCTGTGCTCTGTGTTTAGCATCATCTGCAACACTATTAGTCTATCTGTATCCTGTCTATATCCTGTGTTTAGCATCATCTACTACACTATCCGTCTATCTGTATGCGGTCTATACCCTGTGTTAAGCATAATCTACAACACTATCCGTCTATCTGTATCCTGTCTATACCCTGTGTTTAGCATATTCTACAACACTATCCGTCTATCTGTATCCTATCTGTACCCTGTGTTTAGCATCATCTGCAACACTATCCGTCTATCTGTATCCTGTCTATACCCTGTGTTAAGTATAATCTACAACACTATCCGTCTATCTGTATCCTGTCTGTACCCCGTGTTTAGCATCATCTACAACACTATCTGTCTATCTGTATCCGGTCTATATCCTGTGTTTAGCATCATCTACAACACTATCCGTCTATCTGTATCCTCTCTGTACCCCGTGTTTAGCATCATCTACAACACTATCCGTCTACCTGTATCCTGTAGACGCCCTATGTTTGGTATCATCTACAACACTATCCGTCTATCTGTATCCTGTAGACGCCCTATGTTTGGTATCATCTACAACACTATCCGTCTATCTGTATGCGGTCTATAACCTGTGTTTAGCATCATCAACAACACTATCCGTCTATCTGTATCCTGTATATACCCTGTGTTTAGCATCATCTACAACACTATCCGTCTGTCTGTATCCTGTCTATACCTTGTGTTTAGCATCATCAACAACACTATCCGTCTATCTGTACCCTGTCTATACCCTGTGTTTAGCATCATCTACAACACTATCCGTCTGTCTGTATCCTGTCTATACCTTGTGTTTAGCATCATCTACAACACTATCGTCTACCTGTATGCGGTCTATATCATGTGTTTAACATAATCTACAAAACTATCCCTCTATCTGTATCCTGTCTATACCTTGTGTTTAGCATCATCTACAACACTATCCGTCTATCTGTATGCGGTCTATATCCTGTGTTTAACATAATCTACAAAACTATCCCTCTATCTGTATCCTGTCTATACCTTGTGTTTAGCATCATCTACAACACTATCCGTCTATCTGTACCCTGTCTGTGCCCTGTGTTTAGCATCATCTACAACACTATCCGTCTACCTGTATCCTGTCTGTACCCCGTGTTAAGCATCATATACAACACTATCCGTCCGTCTGTATCCTGTCTATACCCTGTGTTTGGCATCATCTACAACACTATCCGTCTATCTGTATCCTGTCTATACCCTGTGTTTGGCATCATCTACAACACTATCCGTCTACCTGTATCCTGTCTGTGCTCTGTGTTTGGCATCATCTACAACACTATCCGTCTTCCTGTATCCTGTCTGTGCCCTGTGTTTGGCATCATCTGCAACACTATCCGTCTACCTGTATCCTGTCTGTGCTCTGTGTTTGGCATCATCTGCAACACCCTCCGTCTACCTTTATCCTGTCTATACCTTGTGTTTAGCATCATCTACAACACTATCCGTCTATCTGTATTCTGCCTGTGCCCTGTGTTTGGCATCATCTACAACACTATCCGTCTATCTGTATGCGGTCTATATCATGTGTTTAACATAATCTACAAAACTATCCCTCTATCTGTATCCTGTCTATACCTTGTGTTTAGCATCATCTACAACACTATCCGTCTACATGTATCCTGTCTGTGCCCTGTGTTTGGCATCATCTGCAACACTATCCGTCTACCTTTATCCTGTCTGTGCTCTGTGTTTGGCATCATCTGCAACACTATCCGTCTATCTGTATCCTGTCTGTGCTCTGTGTTTAGCATCATCTACAACACTATCCGTCTACCTGTATCCTGTCTGTGCCCTGTGTTTGGCATCATCTGCAACACTATCCGTCTACCTTTATCCTGTCTGTGCTCTGTGTTTGGCATCATCTGCAAAACTATCCGTCTACCTGTATCCTGTCTGTGCCCTGTGTTTGGCATCATCTACAACACTATCCGTCTACCTGTATCCTGTCTGTGCTCTGTGTTTGGCATCATCTACAACACTATCCGTCTACCTTTATCCTGTCTGTGCTCTGTGTATAGCATCATCTACAACACTATTAGTCTATCTGTATCCTGTCTATACCCTGTGTTTGGCATCATCTGCAACACTATTAGTCTATCTGTATCCTGTCTATACCCTGTGTTTAGCATCATCTACAACACTATCCGTCTATCTGTATGCGGTCTATACCCTGTGTTTAGCATAATCTACAACACTATCCGTCTATCTGTATTCTGTCTGTACCCCGTGTTTAGCATCATATACAACACTATCCGTCTATCTGTATCCGGTCTATATCCTGTGTTTAGCATCATCTACAACACTATCCGTCTATCTGTATCCTGTCTGTACCCCGTGTTTAGCATCACCTACAACACTATCCGTCTATCTGTATCCTGTCTATACCCTGTGTTTAGCATCATATACAACACTATCTGTCTATCTGTATCCTGTCTGTGCCCCGTGTTTAGCATCATCTACAACACTATCCGTCTATCTGTATCCTGTCTATACCTTGTGTTTAGCATCATATACAACACTATCTGTCTATCTGTATCCGGTCTATATCCTGTGTTTAGCATCATCTACAACAATATCCTTTCTACACTATCCACTATCTGTCCACAGGACCGGCCCCCGAGTTCTCAGGCCTCACTGCTGGGGGCAAGGCGGGCGTGGCGATCAGTAAGTATGGTTTAACGCCGCATGAAGAAGAATGTAGTTTTAGCAGATCACAGAAGACGGTGAGGCGAGGTCAAGTGGGGTTTGACGTCTCGTTCAAGATGGCTGCATTTGCATACATGTTTGTATGCGCCGTGCATACATGTGTGTGTGTATGTGTGCATGCCGCAGTTCAATATGGAAACCCCACTGAGACTCCTTTTTTAGCCCCGTAATGCCGAACACCAGGCAGGCATATGTTAACGTCTTTTGGTACAACGCGGCCGGGGATCGAACCACCGACCTTCCGTTCTCTGGGCAGACGCTCATTTATATACGTTTTAAACATTGATTAAGGAACAGACGGTATATGTATATAGTACCGACAACGATCATATCCAGGGTAAATGTATAACGCTGACCCTCTGACCCCCTGACCCCCTGACCCTCTGACCCTATGACCCCCTGACACTCTAACCCTCTACACAACGCCCAACACAGTGGTACTTAAACGCCTTAAATCAATAATTCGGCGTCACGCCTTCATGTGAATTGTCTCCCTTAGCTTGCTAGTCCCGATTATGACCCTCGGTGTGTCAGTGCCTACCCGTGTGAGTATCATCTGAGTCACTTGGGGAATCAACATGTCACCTTATACCACAACGATGGTTCATGTCGACCGCTGCGACGTAGCCATATGGACAGTTTTCCTCTTTCACGGACAATATGATCAGTCGGATGTGAATTATTTAATCTTGATCAACTATAGGTGCACTATGTGCATGCCCGTGGTTTCACAACGGCGGTGAACGTACACGACCTGTCCATGAATCACCGCCCGACTGAAATACTGTTCAAAGCGGCTTTAAACTCAGCTCACTCACGCACTCTACCGGTCAGTGGCTATGGGTGTTTTATCTTTTATTTAGGTGTTATCCTGCTGGTGGTGATCGCGGTCGCCGTGTTCCTTCTGTGGCATCTCGGCATCCTGGCCATCATTGTGGGCAAGAAGGAAGCCAAGCCTCGCGGCAAAGCAGCTGTCGCCTTCGCCCGGATGTCCAGAAAGGTTTCCCACAATTCATCTCTGATGTTACCATGCGTTCTTGTACCAAATGCTCACAATTCAGTTTTAAACTAATTTTGAACTTTCAACAGAAGTAATAACGTACAAATTGTGATGCTACGCCTTCCCGACATGCATTTGAACATAGCGGTACCGTCCGATCAACGAGATGTCATTTAAATCTCAAATTTATTTCGTACACTTACTTGTAAATTTAATGACTGTTTGCAATAAAATTAATATTGAATATTTGATAAATTATTCAATTTGATTTAATAATTAACCTTTTCTCGATGCGTGGTCGCAGGTACGAGGCAAGGCCGTTGATGACGACATCTATGTGTACGGTGGCAACGATTACGACATCCCGATAGGAACGCAGCTGTCTTCAGAGAGACTGGTACTCGACACGCTGATCACCGAGGGCAAGTTCGCCAAGATATACAAGGCCACCCTGTCACGTGCAGGCAATAACGCGGAGACTGTCGTGGCTAAGATGCTGAAAGGTTACTATGACAACTATTACCATGGCGTAACGTGTGTTTCAACTGCATCAGATTTAAACCAGGGGTTTACTGCTTTAATGTTTTCGTACACTCCGTGGCATTGCTGCATGCTTGGGTACATAATTTAAATCGTTCACTGTTTCTATATCGTGTATACCTTACATAGTCTGACTGAATGGCTCAATGACTGAGTGAATGACTCACTGACTGAGTGAATGACTCACTGGCTGAGTGAATGACTAACAGACTGACTGAATGACTCACTGACTGACTGAGTGACTCACTGACTGAACTGACTGAAAGACTCACTGACTGAGTGACTGACTGACTGACTGACTGAATGACTCACTGACTGAGTGACTGACTCACTGAATGACTGAGTGACTCACTGACTGACTGAATGACTCACTGACTGAGTGACTGACTGAGTGACTGACTCACTGAATGACTGAATGACTGAATGACTCACTGACTGGGTGACTGACTGAGTGACTGAATCACTGGCTGAGTGAATGACTCACTGGCTGTCTGACTGATTGACTCACTCACTGACTGAATGATTTACGGGCTGACTGTGTGACTCACGGACTCACAGGTTTACGGAGTGACTCACTGACTCACGTTGAACTTTGTATATCTCCTCAGAGAACTATGACGATGAAGACAGCCAGCTGATGAAAGGCAAGATCCTCTATTACCTGAATGAGGTGGGCGAGCACCGCAACATCCTGAGAATGGTTGGCGCTGTCGTAGACAACGAAGTTTGTAAGTCATCCATAGTTTGTATGTGGCCTATATTTCAGTAGGCAAAGTGATGGTCCCAGAATACAGTGAGAGAGGGTCTATATTTCAGAGAGTCTTGATGGTCCCAGAATACAGTGAGAGAGGGTCTATATTTCAGGGAGTCTAGTGATGGTCCCAGAATACAGTGAGAGGGGGGTCTATATTTCAGGGAGTCTAGTGATGGTCCCACAATACAGTAAGAGGGGGTCTATATTTCAGGGAGTCTAGTGATGGTCCCAGAATACAGTGAGAGAGGGTCTATATTTCAGGGAGTCTAGTGATGGTCCCAGAATACAGTGAGAGGGGGTCTATATTTCAAGGAGTCTAGTGATGGTCCTAGAATACAGTGAGAGGGGGTCTATATTTCAGGGAGTCTAGTGATGGTCTTAGAATACAGTGAGAGGGGATCTATATTTCAGGGAGTCTTGATGGTCCCAGAATACAGTGAGAGGGGGTCTATATTTCAGGGAGTCTAGTGATGGTCTCAGAATACAGTGAGAGGGGGTCTATATTTCAGGAAGTCTAGTGATGGTCCCAGAATACAGTGAGAGAGGGTCTATATTTCAGGGAGTCTAGTGATGGTCCCAGAATACAGTGAGAGGGGGTCTAGGTCAGGGAGTCTAGTGATGGTCCCAGAATACAGTGAGAGGGGGGTCTATATTTCAGGGAGTCTAGTGATGGTCCCACAATACAGTGAGAGGGGGTCTATATTTCAGGGAGTCTAGTGATGGTCCCAGAATACAGTGAGAGAGGGTCTATATTTCAGGGAGTCTAGTGATGGTCTTAGAATACAGTGAGAGGGGGTATATATTTCAGGGAGTCTAGTGATGGTCCTAGAATACAGTGAGAGGGGGTCTATATTTCAGGGAGTCTAGTGATGGTCTTAGAATACAGTGAGAGGGGGTCTATATTTCAGGGAGTCTTGATGGTCCCAGAATACAGTGAGAGGGGGTCTATATTTATGGGAGTCTAGTGATGGTCTCAGAATACAGTGAGAGGGGGTCTATATTTCAGGGAGTCTAGTGATGGTCCAAGAATACAGTGAGAGGGAGTCTATATTTCAGGGAGTCTAGTGATGGTCCCAGAATACAGTGAGAGGGGGTCTATATTTCAGGGAGTCTAGTGATGGTCTTAGAATACAGTGAGAGGGGGGCCTATATTTCAGGGAGTCTAGTGATGGTCCCACAATACAGTGAGAGGGGGTCTATATTTCAGGGAGTCTAGTGATGGTCCTAGAATACAGTGAGAGGGGGTCTATATTTCAGGGAGTCTAGTGATGGTCCCAGAATACAGTGAGAGGGGGGTCTATATTTCAGGGAGCTTAGTGATGGTCCCAGAATACAGTGAGAGGGGGGTCTATATTTCAGGGAGTCTAGTGATGGTCCCAGAATACAGTGACAGGGGGTCTATATTTCAGGGAGTCTAGTGATGGTCCCACAATACATTGAGAGGGGGTCTATATTTCAGGGAGTCTAGTGATGGTCCCAGAATACAGTGAGAGAGGGTCTATATTTCAGGGAGTCTAGTGATGGTCCCAGAATACAGTGAAAGAGGGTCTATATTTCAGGGAGTCTAGTGATGGTCTTAGAATACAGTGAGAGGGGGTCTATATTTCAGGGAGTCTAGTGATGGTCTTTGAATACAGTGAGAGGGGGTCTATATTTCAGGGAGTCTAGTGATGGTCCTAGAATACAGTGAGAGGGGGTCTATATTTCAGGGAGTCTAGTGATTGTCCTAGAATACAGTGAGAGGGGGTCTATATTTCAGGGAGTCTAGTGATGGTCCTAGAATACAGTGAGAGGGGGTCTATATTTCAGGGAGTCTTGGTGGTCCCAGAATACAGTGAGAGGGGGTCTATATTTCAGGGAGTCTAGTGATGGTCTTAGAATACAGTGAGAGGGGGTCTATATTTCAGGGAGTCTAGTGATTGTCCCAGAATACAGTGAGAGGGGGTCTATATTTCAGGGAGTCTTGGTGGTCCCAGAATACAGTGAGAGAGGGTCTATATTTCAGGGAGTCTAGTGATGGTCCTAGAATACAGTGAGAGGGGGTCTATATTTCAGGGAGTCTAGTGATGGTCCCAGAATACACTGAGAGGGGGTCTATATTTCAGGGAGTCTAGTGATGGTCCCAGAATACAGTGAGAGGGGGTCTATATTTCAGGGAGTCTTGGTGGTCCCAGAATACAGTGAGAGGGGGTCTATATTTCAGGGAATCTAGTGATGGTCCTAGAATACAGTGAGAGGGGGTCTATATTTCAGGGAGTCTAGTGATGGTCCCAGAATAAACGCAATAACCGAACGACCTGACCCAAAAGAGGGAGAGACATAACAACTGGTACTGGGAGAAAAAGAACAGATAAGCCACGTGAAAATGTTAAGAATATTCGGGAAATACCACACTTAGACCCCTGCTCGTTAATGGACTTGCCCGACATTGCCGAGGTAGGAATGTATTCAGGGAGTCATCATTATTTAAAACGGGTAAATAGTTTTAAAGCTTGTACATTTTATTAACTTCCTTTTAAAGGCTGTACATAATGTTGACATCTTATATAAGAAATAAACGACGAGTGTGTGTTGCTGATCGCACAATAAAACACTGCAGGGAGAATAAACCATGAGGGGCTGTGTGAGCCGCTCATGGGTCACTCAAATACTAAAGTGAGATGTGGGTCTATACTTCAGGGGGTCCGGTGATGGTGCTGGAGTACTGTGAGATGGGACCCATGCGGACCTGGCTGGTCCAGCAGAAGGGGTCAGTGAGTGATGACGTTCTGGAGCGGATGTTTCAGTTGGCGCATGGAGTCGTTCAAGGAATGGCGTACTTGGCTCAAGTTGGGGTACGACAGATATCATGGTCATACAACAATCTTTTCATTTTAAACCTGTGGGTATCATACAGAGCTGATCAAAGTTCAATAACTTGTCCGGCCTCGTCATACCAAAAGACGTAAAAACATGGTACTACTTGTTACCCTGCCTGGCACTCGACATTAAGGGCCTAAAACAAGGACTGGTGGGCTCGGAGTCAGTATAATTTGTCTGAGTGGTGTTATTCATGTTAAACCTCGGCATGGTGTCTCAGTAGGCTATCATTATAAATCGGTATTAGTCCGGACTGGTACAAGCAGCCATATATCCACACACGCGCGCACGCATACATACACGCACGTCGCTATTTATGTACTTGTACTACTACTACTACTACTACTACTACTACTACTACCACCACTACCACTACCACCACCACCGATACATATCGATATATTGATGCACGTTGTACATGTTCTACTCTCAGATCGTACACCGGCGGTTGGCGGCGAGGAACATCCTGCTCACCTTTCTGCTGGACGTGAGAATCTCCGGGTTTGGCCCCACCATCATGACGGACGGGGCAGAGGACGAGGCGGCGGACACCAGCAGGAGGGTGGGTGGAAGGAAGGGGGGCGGGGGGTCTAGATTCGGGGAGTCGTGTTTGTTTGTTGTGATGTCGGTAACACTTCGGACTAAAGGTGTATGGAAAGATACATGGTCTCGGAAAGAAAATGCGAAGGACTAAGCTCGGCAGATCGGGGGGGGGGGGGGGGGGGGGGGGTGTACGAATGTGTTCATGTAGCTTCTACGTATGGATAAGAGGTGGGAGGAGTTTATTAGGTGTAAGTAGGAAGGAGAGGTGGGAGGAGTTTCTAAGGTGTAAGTAGGAAGGAGAGGTGGGAGGAGTTTATTAGGTGTAAGTAGGAAGGAGAGGTGGGAGGAGTTTATTAGGTGTAAGTAGGAAGGAGAGGTAGGAGGAGTTTATTAGGTGCAAGTAGGAAGGAGAGGTGGGAGGAGTTTATTAGGTGTAAGTAGGAAGGAGAGGTGGGAGGAGTTTATTAAGTGTAAGTGGGAAGGAGAGGTGGGAGGAGTTTATTAGGTGTAAGTAGGAAGGAGAGATGGGAGGAGTTTATAAGGTGTAAGTAGGAAGGAGAGGTGGGAGGAGTTTATTAGGTGTAATTAGGAAGGAGAGGTGGTAGGAGTTTATTAGGTGTAAGTAGGAAGGAGAGGTGGGAGGAGTTTATTAAGTGTAAGTGGGAAGGAGAGGTGGGAGGAGTTTATTAGGTGTAAGTAGGAAGGAGAGATGGGAGGAGTTTATAAGGTGTAAGTAGGAAGGAGAGGTGGGAGGAGTTTATTAGGTGTAAGTAGGAAGGGGAGATGGGAGGAGTTTATTAGGTGTAAGTAGGAAGGAGAGATGGGAGGAGTTTATTAGGTGTAAGTAGGAAGGAGAGGTGGTAGGAGTTTATTAGGTGTAAGTAGGAAGGAGAGGTGGGAGGAGTTTATTAGGTGTAAGTAGGAAGGGGAGATGGGAGGAGTTTATTAGGTGTAAGTAGGAAGGGGAGATGGGAGGAGTTTATTAGGTGTAAGTAGGAAGGAGAGGTGGGAGGAGTTTATTAGGTGTAAGTAGGAAGGAGAGGTGGGAGGAGTTTCTAAGGTGTAAGTAGGAAGGAGAGGTGGGAGGAGTTTATTAGGTGTAAGTAGGAAGGAGAGGTGGGAGGAGTTTATTAGGTGTAAGTAGGAAGGAGAGGTAGGAGGAGTTTATTAGGTGCAAGTAGGAAGGAGAGGTGGGAGGAGTTTATTAGGTGTAAGTAGGAAGGAGAGGTGGGAGGAGTTTATAAGTTGTAAGTAGGAAGGAGAGGTGGTAGGAGTTTATTAGGTGTAAGTAGGAAGGAGAGGTGGGAGGAGTTTATTAAGTGTAAGTGGGAAGGAGAGGTGGGAGGAGTTTATTAGGTGTAAGTAGGAAGGAGAGATGGGAGGAGTTTATAAGGTGTAAGTAGGAAGGAGAGGTGGGAGGAGTTTATTAGGTGTAATTAGGAAGGAGAGGTGGGAGGAGTTTATTAGGTGTAAGTAGGAAGGAGAGGTGGGAGGAGTTTATTAAGTGTAAGTGGGAAGGAGAGGTGGGAGGAGTTTATTAGGTGTAAGTAGGAAGGAGAGATGGGAGGAGTTTATAAGGTGTAAGTAGGAAGGAGAGGTGGGAGGAGTTTATTAGGTGTAAGTAGGAAGGGGAGATGGGAGGAGTTTATTAGGTGTAAGTAGGAAGGAGAGATGGGAGGAGTTTATTAGGTGTAAGTAGGAAGGAGAGGTGGTAGGAGTTTATTAGGTGTAAGTAGGAAGGAGAGGTGGGAGGAGTTTATTAGGTGTAAGTAGGAAGGAGAGGTGGGAGGAGATTAGGTGTAAGTAGGAAGGAGAGGTGGGAGGAGTTTATAAGGTGTAAGTAGGAAGGAGAGGTGGGAGGAGTTTATTAGGTGTAAGTAGGAAGGAGAGGTGGGAGGAGTTTATTAGGTGTAAGTAGAAGGAGAGGTAGGAGGAGTTTATTAGGTGTAAGTAGGAAGGAGAGGTGGGAGGAGTTTATTAGGTGTAAGTAGGAAGGAGAGGTGGGAGGAGTTTATTAGGTGTAAGTAGGAAGGAGAGGTGGGAGGAGTTTATTAGGTGTAAGTAGGAAGGAGAGGTGGGAGAAGTTGATAAGTTGTAAGTAGGAAGGAGAGGTGGGAGGAGTTTCTAAGGTGTAAGTAGGAAGGAGAGGTGGATGGAGTTTATTAGGTGTAAGTAGGAAGGAGAGGTGGGAGGATTTTATTAGGTGTAAGTAGGAAGGAGGAGTGGGAGGAGTTTATTAGGTGTAAGTAGGAAGGAGGGGTGGTAGGAGTTTATTAGGTGTAAGTAGGAAGGAGAGGTGGGAGGAATTTATTAGGTGTAAGTAGGAAGCAGGGGTGGGAGGAGTTTATTAGGTGTAAGTAGGAAGGAGAGGTGGGAGGAGTTTATTAGGTGTAAGTAGGAAGGAGAGGTGGGAGGAGTTTATTAGGTGTAAGTAGGAAGGAGATGTGGGAGGATTTTCTAAGGTGTTAGTAGGAAGGAGGGTTGGGAGGAGTTTATTAGGTGTAAGTAGGAAGGAGAGGTTGGAGGAGTTTATTAGGTGTAAGTAGGAAGGAGAGGTCGAGGGAGTTTATTAGGTGTAAGTAGGAAGGAGAGGTGGTAGGAGTTTATTAGGTGTAAGTAGGAAGGAGAGGTCGAGGGAGTTTATTAGGTGTAAGTAGGAAGGAGAGGTGGTAGGAGTTTATTAGGTGTAAGTAGGAAGGAGAGGTGGGAGGAGTTTATTAGGTGTAAGTAGGAAGGAGAGGTGGGAGGAGTTTATTAGGTGTAAGTAGGAAGGAGAGGTGGGAGGAGTTTATTAGGTGTAAGTAGGAAGGAGAGGTGGGAGGAGTTTATTAGGTGTAAGTAGGAAGGAGAGGTGGGAGGAGTTTATTAGGTGTAAGTAGGAAGGAGGGGTGGGAGGAGTTAATTAGGTGTAAGTAGGAAGGAGAGGTGGGAGGAGTTTATTAGGTGTAAGTAGGAAGGAGAGGTGGGAGGAGTTTATTAGGTGTAAGTAGGAAGGAGAGGTGGGAGGAGTTTATTAGGTGTAAGTAGGAAGGAGAGGTGGGAGGAGTTTGTGTGGCTTAAGGGAGGGGGGGGGGGGGGGGGGGGGGGGGAGTGGTGAAGGGGAATCTAAGTAATAATATAGGATTGTTCCTAAGCTAGGACGTTCTAAGGTAGGATCTGTGTTCCAGGAGCGCATCCCTCTCCGATGGATGGCCCCTGAGTGTTTCAAGTCCACCAAAGACGCTTCAGAGAAGAGTGACGTGTGGTCCTTTGGTGTGGTGCTGTGGGAGATCTTCTCCCTGGGTAAGACAGTCACATCCTCGAGTAGCGTCAGCCCAATATATAAACATATTGTATTACATTGCAAAAAGGTATGGTGTCGATTCTTTTAAAGATCGTGATGTTTGTGTTATGTATATTAACGATAAGCTTTTTTTCAAGTACTGTTGTAGTAACATGTTCATGTTTTTTATACGTCAATAATAATTATTCAGGTGACAACCCTTATCCTGGTTTGAAGACGAGCGAGTTGCCGCTAAAGGTCAAGGCCGGTCACAGAATGAAACGACCAGAGTTCGCTGACGACACGTGAGTAATAACAAATTACGTGTATATCCTGATGACACACATGGTGACACACATGTTATAACGAAATATTACATGCCATGCTGACACACGTGAGTTAACGTGACTACGAAAAACGAGTGAGGTATATACACAGTGAGTGAGGTATAAGAAATGTTTTCGTATGAAATTGTTGATTGGTCTGAATATAAATAATGAGGCTAGTGGTGATTAGTCAGACCTTCCTGGGAATATTTCTTTGGAATACTATTAATTACATTGTCCTGTTATTAGAACGGATACGGTAGTTAGGTGATCACACCACTTCGTCGCTTCGTTTATACATTATAGACATGCCTGAAATCTAAGATTAGAACCTGATTATATTTCTTCGTTTGTCTGCACCAAACCCGTGCTCGTGAGACCTGCATCACGTTGGGCTGACATCACACATTAAGCTGACTCGCCGTGATATAACTGAAATCGTGTTGAAAGCAGTATTAAACCCAACTCACTCACTCAGTTACAAACTCGTTACAGAGCATATGGAAAACGTACGTAAGGTTCATCTTGTCTCTTTCTGTTACCAACGTAAAGCAACACCCGTGCACGTTCAGACCAATATACCCTGGTCAGTCCTGATGTCCTCCTCTAGATCTCTGAGATGAGAGCGCTCTTCTTGCAGGAACTACGGCATGATGCAGCAGTGCTGGGAGCAGGATCCGAGGCAGAGACCGAGGTTCAAGGAGCTCGAGAAATCCTACAACAAACTCATGAAAGGTGGCGACAACGACAATAGCTACTCCTTGTACTCCAACTACAAGCGTTAGGACAGGGACCTCCACACAGAACATGCTTCATGTTCATTGTTAGTTAATCTCTGATGTCCTCTCGATCCTTGATGTTATCACCTTGATCCCTAATATCCTCCCTTTGATCCTTGATGCCCTCTCCTTGATCCCTAATATCCTCCCTATGATCCTTGATGCCCTCTCCTTTATCCCTAATATGCTCCCTTTGATCTCCTTTATCCCTAATATATTCTCCCTTTGACCTACTTGATCCCTAATATGCTCCCTTTGATCTCCTTGATCCCCAATATCCCCCCTTTGATCCCTTATGCCCTCTCCTTGATCCCTAATATCCTCCCTATGATCCATGATGCCCTCTCCTTTATCCCTAATATGCTCCCTTTGATCTCCTTTATCCCTAATATATTCTCCCTTTGACCTACTTGATCCCTAATATGCTCCCTTTGATCTCCTTGATCCCCAATATCCCCCCTTTGATCCCTGATGCCCTCTCCTTGATCCCTAATATCCTCCCTATGATCCTTGATGCCCTCTCCTTTATCCCTAATATGCTCCCTTTGATCTCCTTTATCCCTAATATATTCTCCCTTTGACCTACTTGATCCCTAATATGCTCCCTTTGATCTCCTTGATCCCCAATATCCCCCCTTTGATCCCTTATGCCCCCTCCTTGATCCCTAATATCCTCCCTATGATCCATGATGCCCTCTTCTTTATCCCTAATATGCTCCCTTTGATCTCCTTTATCCCTAATATATTCTCCCTTTGACCTACTTGATCCCTAATATGCTCCCTTTGATCTCCTTGATCCCCAATATCCCCCCTTTGATCCCTGATGCCCTCTCCTTGATCCCTAATATCCTCCCTATGATCCTTGATGCCCTCTCCATGATCTCTAATATCCCCCCTTTGATCCCTGATGCCCTCTCATTGATCCCTAATATCCCCCCTTTGATCCCTGATGCCCTCTCCTTTATACCTAATATCCCCCCTTTGATCCCTTATGCCCTCTCCTTTATACCTAATATCTCCCCTTTGATCCCTGATGTCCTCTCCTTGATTCCTAATATCCCCCCTATGATCCCTGATGCCCTCTCCTTGATTCCTAATATCCCCCCTATGATCCCTGATGCCCTCTCCTTCATCCCCGATATCCCCCCTTTGATCCCTGATGCCCTCTCCTTAATCCCCGGTATCCCCCCTTTGATCCCTGATGCCCTCTCCTTAATCCCCGGTATCCCTCCTTTGATCCCTGATGCCCTCTCCTTAATCCCTAATATCCCTCCTTTGATCCCTGATGCCCTCTCCTTGATTCCTAATATCCCCTCTTTGATCCCTGATGCCCTCTCCTTGATCCCTAATATCCCCCCTTTGATCCCTGATGCCCTCTCCTTAATCCCCGGTATCCCCCCTTTGATCCCTGATGCCCTCTCCTTAATCCCCGGTATCCCTCCTTTGATCCCTGATGCCCTCTCCTTGATTCCTAATATCCCCTCTTTGATCCCTGATGCCCTCTCCTTGATCCCTAATATCCCCCCTTTGATCCCTGATGCCCTCTCCTTGAAACATTGGAATGCCCGAAATATCACGTGTGTTTTCCGCGTACCCTGCCAGAGCGGGAACACCACTGACTGGTTAACAGCATCGTTCATGATGAACATAATGATGATGGACTACAACGAAGAGGTTTTGACTCTGACATCAGAGGACAAACTGCGAACAACGTCCTCGCTGTCCTCGTTCTAGTTCGGTTAGCATTCTAACGCACGTGCCAGTCATGTCCTTTGTTGGAACCTTGTTCCTGGAATCCGTAGAATTTCAGGAAACTGAAAGAAATATTTGCTTTTGTGATCACACAGAATAGTGGAGATAAGTGAGCACTTACATAATATGTAATACTGAGTGTTTTTCAAATGATGCAAGGTTTGTTAATGTTTTTGTCTATTTTTGTTTGTTGTTCAACGCCGCAGTCAGCAATATTCCAGCTTATGACAGCGGTCTGTAAATAATCGAGTCTGGACCACCCGACCCCGTTAGTCGCCTCTCACGACAGCATAGTCGCCTGTTACGGCAGGCATGGGTTACTGAAGACCTATTCTAACCCGGATCTTCACCGGTTGTTAATTGGTAAATGTACATTGATTCGTCCGTAACAACAACAGCAATGTCAACGTGTTGCCTCATTGCTTTTTGAGCATATCCCTTCGATTTTAGATGAATCTATCGATTCTAGATCATCACATTGATTCTACATCAATCTTTCGACGTCGTTTGTGTATCTGTGATGGGACGTGGTCCTGTGCACGGCGCAACGGTCACAATAGGGTGAAGTTCCACGTCGGTGGCGGAGAGAAGGGGGGATGGGTGACCATGGTGACCTACATTGAAGCACGTGTAACACGTGGTGTCGCTTATGGAACGTGACTTTGTTCGCAGTAGGCCTCTGTTCACCCAGCAATAAAGGGGTACCCGGTAGGACAAGATGGTAATGTGGATGTTAACCTTCGAGCGCCTCATAGGCAGTTTGGGTTGTATACTCCCCAGGGAGCTGGGAATGAAATTCGAGTGCACGTTGATCCAGTGACTGGGGAAGTAATATTGTGTGGCGTCGCTGAGTAGCTATCTAAGTTGGAAGTCGGGCGCTTTATTAAGGCATGATATTAATATTATGATATTCCATTCACATGTACATATATGCGCATAATACACACCTATACATGTCTATGTCTATTCAGATCACATCAACTCAGTTATTTTACCCGCAACCCTTCTTATTCATTATTCTTTTCGCTTCCCCGCCAATGTACATTTACTTTCATAATTTCGCTTTGAGTTAACCGATATATTATGTCTTCTGTTATAAAGTTCATTTATGTGTTGAATGTGTGCTTCTGAATATGCAGGCAAACGTTATGATCTGTAAGTAAATGAAACATATTTTGTTTTCAAGTCATGTCATTGTACGTCACCTACAGTGCTTGTCCTCAAGCATGTGCAGTACACATGTTGCAGGTTAAAAAACTGATAACTTATTTGGACTTTCATTGTATCACTGCTGTATGTGTGATGCTTTGTTGTTATGCCATTCCACTTTGAGCACCACCTGATTACCGGAGAGTCTATATCATTGCTGGTAAGAATAACGCAAGTTGCTGCTTCTAGTTGCCGTGTCGTCTTAAGGTTATCGCTGCTTGTGCAATACTAACTGTGCTTGTGTTTGCTTGAATAAAACTTGTGTACAAATAATGGTTTTGTTTTATGAATGACTAGTGGGGTGTTCTATCAGTTGTATTTGTCGCTAGTGGGGTGTACTATGAGCTACAGGTGTCACTTGTTGGTGTACCATGAGTTATACGTGTCACTAGTAGGGTGTACTATGACCAACAGATGTCACTTTTGGAGTATACAATGAGATACACAGGTGTCACTAGTGGGTGTACTATCAGTTAAAGGTGTCACTAGAGGGTGTACTATGAGTTACAAGTGTCAATAGTGGGTGTACTATGGGTTACACGTGTCACTAGTTGGTGTACTATGAGTTACACGTGTCACTAGTGGATGTACTATGAGTTACACGTGTCACTAGTGGGTGTACTATGAGTTACAAATGTCACTTTTGGGGTATACTATGAGTTACACAGGTGTCACTAGTGGGTGAACTATAAGTTACACGTATAACTAGTGGGTGTACTATGAGTTACAGGTGTCACTTGTGGGTGTACTATGAAATGCACGTGTCACTTGTGGGTTGTACTTTTAGTTACACAGATGTCATTAGTGGGGTGTACCATGAGTTACACGTGTAACTAGTGGCTGTACTATAGGTTAAACGTGTCACTAGTGGGTGTACTCTGAGTTACAGGTGTCACTTGTGGGGTGAACTAAGAGTTACACGTGTCACTAGTGAGGTGTACTATGAGTTACAGGTGTCACTTGTGGGTGTACTATGAGTTACATGTGTCACTAGTGGGGTGTACTATGAGCTACACGTGTCACTAGTGGGGTGTACTATTAGTTACACGTGTCACTAGTTGGTGTACTATTAGTTACACGTGTCAACTGTGGGATGAACTATGAGTTACACGTGTCACTAGTGGGTGTACTATGAGTTACACGTGTCACTAGTGGGGTGTTCCAAGAGTTACAGGTGTCACTAGTGGGTGTACTATGAGCTACACGTGTCACTAGTGGGGTGTACAATTAGTTACACGTGTCACTAGTGGGTGTACTATGAGTTACACGTGTCACCTGTTGGATGAACTATGAGTTACAGGTGTCACTAGTGGGGTGTTCTATCAGTTGTATTTGTCACTAGTGGGGTGTACTATGAGTTACATGTATCACTAGTGTGTGTACCATGACTTACACGTGTCACTAGTGATGTGTACTATGAGTTGTATTTGTCACTAGTGGGTGTACTATGAGTTGCACTTGTCACTAGTGAGGTGTACTATGAGTTTTACTTGTCACTAGTGGGGTGTTCTATGAGTTACAGGTGTCACTAGTAGGGTGTACTATGAGCTATACGTGTCACTAGTGGGGTGTACTGTGAGTTACACGTGTCATTAGTGGGTGTACTATAAGTTACACGTGTAACTAGTGGGTGTACTATGAGTTACAGGTGTCACTTGTGGGGTGAACTAAGAGCTACACGTGTCACTAGTGGGGTGTACTGTGAGTTACAGGTGTCACTTGTGGGTTCACTGTGAAGTGGGTGTACTATGAAGTGCACGTGTCTCTTGTGGGGTGTTCTATCAGTTGGATTTGTCACTAGTGGGGTGTACTATGAGTTACATGTGTCACTAGTGTGTGTACCATGAGTTACACGTGTCACTAGTGATGTGTACTATGAGTTGTATTTGTCACTAGTGGGTGTACTATGAGTTGCACTTGTCACTAGTGAGGTGTACTATGAGTTGTATTTGTCATCAGTGGGGTGTTCTATGAGTTACAGGTGTCACTAGTAGGGTGTACTATGAGCTATACGTGTCACTAGTGGTGTGTACTGTGAGTTACACGTGTAACTAGTGGGTGTACTATGAGTTACAGGTGTCACTTGTGGGGTGAACTATGAGTTACAGGTGTCACTTGTGGGGTGAACTATGAGTTACAGGTGTCACTAGTGGGTTGAACTATGAGTTACAGGTGTCACTTGTGGGGTGAACTAAGAGCTACACGTGTCAGTAGTGGGGTGTACTGTGAGTTACAGGTGTCACTTGTGGGTGTACTATGAAGTGCACGTGTCTCTTGTGTGGTGCACTTTTAGTTACACAGATGTCATTAGTGGGGTGTACCATGAGTTACAGGTGTAACTAGTGGGTGTACTATAGGTTAAACGTGTCACTTGTGGGGTGAACTAAGAGCTACACGTGTCAGTAGTGGGGTGTACTGTGAGTTACAGGTGTCACTTGTGGGTATACTATGAAGTGCACGTGTCTCTTGTGGGGTGCACTTTTAGTTACACAGATGTCATTAGTGGGGTGTACCATGAGTTTCACGCATAACTAGTGGGTGTACTCTAGGTTACACGTGTCACTAGTTGGTGTACTATGAGTTACAGGTGTCACTAGTCGGGTGGTCTATGAGCTACACGTGTCACTAGTGGGTGAACTATGAGTTACACGTGTCACTAGTGAGGTGTTCTATCAGTTGTATTTGTCACTAGTGGGGTGTACTATGAGTTACATGTGTCACTAGTGTGTGTACCATGAGTTACACGTGTCACTAGTGATGTGTACTATGAGTTACACGTGTCACTAGTGGGTGTACTATGAGTTACACGTGTCACTAGTGGGGTGTTCCAAGAGTTACAGGTGTCACTAGTGGGTGTACTATGAGCTACACGTGTCACTAGTGGGGTGTACAATTAGTTACACGTGTCACTAGTGGGTGTACTATGAGTTACACGTGTCACCTGTTGGATGAACTATGAGTTACAGGTGTCACTAGTGGGGTGTTCTATCAGTTGTATTTGTCACTAGTGGGGTGTACTATGAGTTACATGTATCACTAGTGTGTGTACCATGACTTACACGTGTCACTAGTGATGTGTACTATGAGTTGTATTTGTCACTAGTGGGTGTACTATGAGTTGCACTTGTCACTAGTGAGGTGTACTATGAGTTTTACTTGTCACTAGTGGGGTGTTCTATGAGTTACAGGTGTCACTAGTAGGGTGTACTATGAGCTATACGTGTCACTAGTGGGGTGTACTGTGAGTTACACGTGTCATTAGTGGGTGTACTATAAGTTACACGTGTAACTAGTGGGTGTACTATGAGTTACAGGTGTCACTTGTGGGGTGAACTAAGAGCTACACGTGTCACTAGTGGGGTGTACTGTGAGTTACAGGTGTCACTTGTGGGTTCACTGTGAAGTGGGTGTACTATGAAGTGCACGTGTCTCTTGTGGGGTGTTCTATCAGTTGGATTTGTCACTAGTGGGGTGTACTATGAGTTACATGTGTCACTAGTGTGTGTACCATGAGTTACACGTGTCACTAGTGATGTGTACTATGAGTTGTATTTGTCACTAGTGGGTGTACTATGAGTTGCACTTGTCACTAGTGAGGTGTACTATGAGTTGTATTTGTCATCAGTGGGGTGTTCTATGAGTTACAGGTGTCACTAGTAGGGTGTACTATGAGCTATACGTGTCACTAGTGGTGTGTACTGTGAGTTACACGTGTAACTAGTGGGTGTACTATGAGTTACAGGTGTCACTTGTGGGGTGAACTATGAGTTACAGGTGTCACTTGTGGGGTGAACTATGAGTTACAGGTGTCACTAGTGGGTTGAACTATGAGTTACAGGTGTCACTTGTGGGGTGTTCTATGAGTTACAGGTGTCACTAGTGGGTTGAACTATGAGTTACAGGTGTCACTTGTGGGTGAACTAAGAGCTACACGTGTCATTAGTGGGGTGTACTGTGAGTTACAGGTGTCACTTGTGGGTGTACTATGAAGTGCACGTGTCTCTTGTGGGGTGCACTTTTAGTTACACAGATGTCATTAGTGGGGTGTACCATGAGTTTCACGCATAACTAGTGGGTGTACTCTAGGTTACACGTGTCACTAGTTGGTGTACTATGAGTTACAGGTGTCACTAGTCGGGTGGTCTATGAGCTACACGTGTCACTAGTGGGTGAACTATGAGTTACACGTGTCACGAGTGAGGTGTTCTATCAGTTGTATTTGTCACTAGTGGGGTGTACTATGAGTTACATGTGTCACTAGTGTGTGTACCATGAGTTACACGTGTCACTAGTGATGTGTACTATGAGTTGTATTTGTCACTAGTGGGTGTACTATGAGTTGCACTTGTCACTAGTGAGGTGTACTATGAGTTGTATTTGTCACTAGTGGGGTGTTCTATGAGTTACAGGTGTCACTAGTAGGGTGTACTATGAGCTATACGTGTCACTAGTGGGGTGTACTTTGAGTTACACGTGTCACTAGTGGGTGTAGTATGAGTTACAAGTGTCACTTTTGGGGTATACTATGAGTAACACAGGTGTCACTAGTTGGTGAACTATAAGTTACACGTGTAACTAGTGGGTGTACTATGAGTTACAGGTGTAACTTGTGGGTGTACTATGAAGTGCACGTGTCTCTTGTGGGGTGTACTTTTAGTTACACAGATGTCACTAGTGGGGTGTACCATGAGTTTCACGCGTAACTAGTTGGTGTACTCTAGGTTACACGTGTCACTAGTTGGTGTACTATGAGTTACAGGTGTCACTAGTGGGGTGGTCTATGAGTTACACGTGTCACTAGTGGGGTGTTCTATGAGTTGTATTTGTCACTAGTGGGGTGTACTGTGAGTTACATGTGTCACTAGTGGGTGTTCTATGAGTTACAGGTGTCACTAGTGGGTGTGCTATGAGCTGCACGTGTCACTAGTGGGGTGTTTTATGCGTTGTATTTGTCACTAGTGGGGTGTACGATGAGTTACATGTGTCACTAGTGGATGTACCAAGAGTTACATGTGTCACTAGTGAGGTGTACTATGAGTTGTATTTGTCACTAGTGGGGTGTACTATGAGTTGCACGTGTTACGAGTGGGTGTACTATGAGTTACAGGTGTCACTAAGGGGTGTACTATGAGTAACACGTGTCACTAGTGGGTTTACTCGGGGTTACACGTGTCACTAGTGGGTTGTACTATGAGTTACACGTGACACTATTGCGTCCACTGTGAGTTACAGGTGCTACTAGGGGGTTGTACTATAAGTTACACAGATGTCAT